TGCAATAAAATGCTCCAAACACTCAATTTGTTGCAATAAAATTAGAATGGAATTTTAACATGTTAAAAATCATCAGGATTTCCCTGGCCAATAAAATGCTCAGACCAACCCCTTAACAATCTTAACAATAAAATGACTAACCTGACTCCAATTTTGAAATTCCAATACATTACGGATCTCGCTTAGACTATGCACAAGTCATCCATTTCTAGTGTGGAAATTGCCACGGGGATGTTTATGTGTTTTTTCAATTCTTTATTTCTTCCGATGTTCTGCTATCTTCCTTTCATTTTACGTTACTTTATTTGTGTTTATTTCATGTCCTTCCACTTTCCTTTCATGCGCGTTACTTCCATGTCCTTCCATTATCTGTTCATATCCATATCCTTTCATTGTCCCTGCATGCCATGTCCAAATCCTCACAGATAGAATATTCCGAATGCATGACCCTGGTCACCATGGTGGTCACAATTTATATGTGTGAATATTGAGGAAAAAAACAAATATACACTCATACAAAAGCATTTTCTTTCGTGTTCACATTCCTTTCATGCCTTTCATTCTCCTGTCAGTTTCCTGCCAGTTTCCTTTCACTTCCTTCCATGTTCCTTCTATTTCCGTCAATCATATCTTTGTTTTACGTTCACCTTATTTAATTTCCCTCCTTTCCTTTTGTTCTTTCATGTCCTTCTGATGTTCCTCTGGTTTCCCTTTCGGTTCGTCTCATTTTCCTTCTCATCTTCCTTTCATGTCCCTTTCATTTTACTCTCTTGTCACTTCAGTTTCCTTCCCTTTTTCCTTCAAGTCATTCCATTTTTCTTGTACGTCCTGTCATTTTTCAAAATCATATCGAATTTCCGTGCATATTCGTTTCAAATTATGTTCATGGTCCTTGGTTCTTTTCATGATCTTCCTTGCTCGTTTATGCATCGGGGTGCCAATTCATAATGTGATAATGTGCAGCAGTTTTAAAGCGGTCTAGCTTTTGTGCATAGGGCCTCATGCTTTAAAATGCACAAAAACAATGAGAACTGGCTCTGCCATAAAATGCGGTTCCAGCAAATTCACGCCGAATTGGCATCCAAGTTCATCCAAATTCGAAGACCTTCAGAAATGCCTCTTTAAAAAGGGGTCAGGAAATTCTTTGTAGATAGAGGTATTTTAGAGTGAAGGTGCTCAAATATTTAATGGTTTTCTTCTGTTTATAGCATTCTGTAGCAACAAAATACGGTGGCATTCTTTCGTAGCAATTCCTTAAAATTCCTTTAAATTCCTTTAAATTCCTTAAAAATCCAAAAAACTCATGAAAATTCCTTAAAAATCATTTAACATCATTAAAACCCGTAAAAATCTTTCAAATTCCGTCAGATTCCTTTAAGACTCTTTAAAATTCCTTAAACTTCCTTGAAATTCCTCTAAGATTCTTGAAAATTCCTTAAACTTCATTGAAATTCCTTTAAGATTCCTGAAAATTCCTTTAAGATTCCTTAAAATTCATTTAAATTCCAAAAAATCCTTAAAATTCCTTAACATCCTTTAGAATCATTCGAAATCCTTGAAAATCTTTCGAATTCCTTCAAATTCCGTCAAATTCCTTTAAAATTCCTTCAACTTCCTCTAAGATTCCTTCAAAGTCCTTAAAACTCCCTAAATTCCTTGAATTTCCTTATAATTCCTTTCAAATTCCTTTAAATTTCCCCAACATTCCTTAAAATTCCTTAGGATTCCTTCAAATTCCTTCAAATTCGCAGATCTAAAATGACATGCCCAATAAAATTGATATAAAGAGATCCTCGAAAAGCACTGGTTCCATTCTGCAATAAAATGCTCCAAACACTCAATTTGTTTAAAATTAGAATGGAATTTTAACATGTTAAAAATCATCAGGATTTCCCTGGCCAATAAAATGCTCAGACCAACCCCTTAACAATCTTAACAATAAAATGACTAACCTGACTCCAATTTTGAAATTCCAATACATTACGGATCTCGCTTAGACTATGCACAAGTCATCCATTTCTAGTGTGGAAATTGCCACGGGGATGTTTATGTGTCTTTTCAATTCTTTATTTCTTCCGATGTTCTGCTATCTTCCTTTCATTTTACGTTACTTTATTTGTGTTTATTTCATGTCCTTCCACTTTCCTTTCATGCGCGTTACTTCCATGTCCTTCCATTATCTGTTCATATCCATATCCTTTCATTGTCCCTGCATGCCATGTCCAAATCCTCACAGATAGAATATTCCGAATGCATGACCTTGGTCACCATGGTGGTCACAATTTATATGTGTGAATATTGAAAAAAACAAATATACACTCATACAAAAGCATTTTCTTTCGTGTTCACATTCCTTTCATGCCTTTCATTCTCCTGTCAGTTTCCTGCCAGTTTCCTTTCACTTCCTTCCATGTTCCTTCTATTTCCGTCAATCATATCTTTGTTTTACGTTCACCTTATTTAATTTCCCTCCTTTCCTTTTGTTCTTTCATGTCCTTCTGATGTTCCTCTGGTTTCCCTTTCCGTTCGTCTCATTTTCCTTCTCATCTTCCTTTCATGTCCCTTTCATTTTACTCTCTTGTCACTTCAGTTTCCTTCCCTTTTTCCTTCAAGTCATTCCATTTTTCTTGTACGTCCTGTCATTTTTCAAAATCAAATTTCCGTGCATATTCGTTTCAAATTATGTTCATGGTCCTTGGTTCTTTTCATGATCTTCCTTGCTCGTTTATGCATCGGGGTGCCAATTCATTATGTGATAATGTGCAGCAGTTTTAAAGCGGTCTAGCTTTTGTGCATAGGGCCTCATGCTTTAAAATGCACAAAAACAATGAGAACTGGTTCTGCCATAAAATGCGGTTCCAGCAAATTCACGCCGAATTGGCATCCAAGTTCATCCAAAATCGAAGACCTTCAGAAATGCCTCTTTAAAAAGGGGTCAGGAAATTCTTTTTAGATAGAGGTATTTTAGAGTGAAGGTGCTCAAACATTTAATGGTTTTCTTCTGTTTATAGCATTCTGTAGCAACAAAATACGGTGGCATTCTTTCGTAGCAATTCCTTAAAATTCCTTTAAAATCCTTTAAATTCCTTAAAATTCCAAAAAACTCATGAAAATTCCTTACAAACAATTTCAAATCATTAAAATCCGTAAAAATCTTTCAAATTCCGTCAGATTCCTTTAAGATTTTTTAAAATTCCTTAAACTTCCTTGAAATTCCTCTAAGATTCTTGAAAATTCCTTAAACTTCCTTGAAAGTCCTTTAAGATTCCTTAAAATTCCTTTAAGATTCCTTAAAATTCATTTAAATTCAAAAAAAATCCTTAAAATCATTCAAAAATCCTTAAAATCATTCGGAATCCTTGAAAATCTTTCAAATTCCTTCAAATTCCGTCAAATTCCTTTAAAATTCCTTCAACTTCCTCTAAGATTCCTTCAAAGTTCTTAAAACTCCCTAAATTCCTTGAATTTCCTTATAATTCCCTTCAATTTCCTTTAAAATTCCTTAACATTCCTTTAAGATATGGTTGACGGAAACGTTTTGATTTTGTTCTAAAATGACAGGACATAAAAATCAAAGGCACATGAAATGAACATGAAAGGAAGTGAAAGGTACATGAAAGGAGCATAGATACAAGGAAATAGAAAAACATTTGGAACCATAGGCTGGGAACATGAAAGGAAAACAGAAGGACAATGAAAGGAACTGAAAGCAATCATCCTTTTGCTGATGTTACAGTTGCTACGTTGTCAACCTCACTTTACATAGGTATGGTGCAATATTCATGACATATTTGTACCCTCAGTGGAAGCACTTTACATAGGCATTGTGGCTATTTATGGCTATCTATACCCACTTTTTTGAAGCATTTTACATAGGTACGGCTTGTTGTTTTACCGGGTCCGTGGAATATTCTATCTGTCTATAGCTATCTTAAGTTAAGCAAATTTTATTTTTTTTTTAAGGTTTGAACTAAACCTATTTTTCCAACTTTTTTTTTGGTGTGATTTAGTAATATTCACCTGGTAAAATGCAAGTTTTTGGATGATTTTTACCGGTATCTTTTGAATATTCTATCTGTGAAAGCATTCTATCTGCTAGAAATGCGTTTAGTTCAAGCAAAAAAAAATATTTTTTTGAACTAAAATATTCTATCTGGTAGAAATTGACTATACTGTGTTAGGAATATCCACCGAAATACGGTCCTTAAGGTGCACAGTACCTCCACTTAGGGTACCTTGACGGGCAATGGACCATATCAACCATGCTCAACACTTTGTGCGCTGGAGATAGTCGCCTCATATTTGTTAGGATTCCCTCTCACTACTGGGAACAAGCATATGATTGTCGTTCTGTCGTGACCCTACGCTGATCTGGTTTGACTATGGTTTTTAAAGTCAAATTATGGGGTATTTACATGAACCTCCCCAAGCTTCCAAGCTGCAATGGGCCAATGGGCATCCCAAATATGTTTGAAACAAACAACCACAGATGCAAGTGGGTGCATCATTAACCCCAGGACACATCACCGTCCTAAAACCCAAATAGTATGCACAACAGGTATCTCTTGAGATAAATTCAGAACTTTGTTGCAGGAGAACCCCCTGGTCCTTTTACACAGATTGCAGAGAAACCCCATACATTGGTCAATATTTTTTGATACACCTGACATACCCTACCAACTGAGCCACAGACTCCGACCGGACCGACCAAAATCATGTATGGTTTTGCATTGTGTCATTCTTATCGTCCAGAAATTTTGCTGAAATCCCGAAACAGCTAATGACCTGTCTGATACCATGGGGGGTATACCTCCATTTTATTGCAACTTTCATGGTGAAATTTTGAAAATTACAGTAATCATCAACTTCCGGGGTACCCTATTTTCAGACAATCGTAGATCAAGGCTTTCCAAGTTTTTTCACAAAACAAGAACATCCCACCTGGTTTTCCCACGGGGGCTTGTGAAGTTGCCGTGGTGCCCATCCCCTGCAGTCTTAGGATCTGTTTCACTCTGATGTCATCTAACTTCACCTCAGCAGCTAAGAGGGCCTCCGAAAACGGGGGACAGCCCATTCCGAAAAAGGCTTGGTATGTTTTGGGCTTGAAATCAACCACCAACAACCACGTTTACGTCATCCCAGGCCCCAGAGAACAACCCCAAACGAGTAGCCTGGGGCCCTGGGGTAGGGTTTTCCTACCAAAATGATCGAAAAAATGGGAGGTTTTCTACACGAGGTAAGCTTCAATAGGAAACCCCTCTCTTGCCCAAGTTTGGGAGTTCCATGGAGGGCAGGATGGACATTTCATCCAGCAGGTTGCAACGGGACAAATACTGGAATACCTCGATAGTGCAGAAGGATTATCAAATGGGCTGGGGATGGCCATTCGACCATTGTGGCTCCTTGATATTGAGCATCTAAAACACTGTTCATAGGGGAATGACTATTCTGGTTCTCAGACTATCGAAATTTTAAGCGCAATTTAAGTAGCCACAACCATTTTTTGGTTTGCTTGAAACTATGGTACTCCCAATAGTCCACTGGTTTCACATCATTTTCCCTATGAAACTTACGCCATAACCCCCGTTCAATTGCTGCATCTTCCCAGGCATCATTTCCCAAGCTTCCCGTTCAGCCGACGACAAGCCACCATCGTTTGGATATTTTCCTTGGTGTCTGCATCGTCCAATGTTGATGGAAACATATCTTCCATCATGATAATCATGAAAGCATCCGTAAAAAATGATCATCCATCATTCGTTCAACGACATATAGCCATATAATTAATCATCAACATCATCATCATCATAATTTTCTGGTTAACATACCCATATCAATATCGTTGGTTATAGATCCATCATCCGTCACTATACCATATTTGGACACCATCAAGCAGCGATGCAACGATGAAACACGGGTGGTTTGGCTCTTCTGAGTCACCAACTATCCCTGGGTCATGAAAAACCGGCCACTATTCCCATAAGATCGTTTATATATTTGTTACATTCAATAGTCATCAACTATGTTATATTGATATATATATATATGTATGTATGTATGTATGTATGTATGTATGTATGTATGTATGTATGTATGTATGTATGTATGTATGTATGTATGTATGTATGTTAGGTATGTATGTATGTTGGTAGGTAGGTATGTATGTAGGTATGTATGTATTACTGTATTACTGTATTACTGTAGTACTGTATTACTGTATTACTGTATTACTGTATTACTGTATTACTGTATGTATGTATGTATGTATGTATGTATGTATCTATCTATCTATCTATCTATCTATCTATCTATCCATGTATCCATGTATCCATGTATCCATGTATCCATGTATCCATGTATCTATGTATCTATGTATCTATGTATCTATGTATCTATGTATCTATGTATATGTAATATACATGCATATGTGTACATATCGTCTGCACATCATGCTGAACTCCCAATAGTAGTATGTACATGTATATGTATACCTGCTGTATCAAACATTCTTCCCAGGCATCATTTGTAGCTATTGATGCAACCTATTGATAACTATCAATATCCATTAACATACTATTCAAGAATTGCCCTCATCAGGTCTCATTCTATCAACCATGATATCACCATCTTTTCCATCACTATCTATTAAGATCCATTAACTTGTATTTCCAGGTCATATGCAGTTCTGTGCATATATATGCATATGTATATATATATGCCATATGGATATTTATTTATATCCAACCTTACATTTATAGACTATACATATTTAGATATACAATATATTATATATATACACCATATATTATATATACATGGAACTAAACTCATCTAACCTAGCAGTTTTTTTGCCACGGGTCATTCTTCTTGAGGGCTTGTTCCATCAACTCGCGCTCCTCCGCGTTCTTCTCCGAGGGCGGCTGCACCACCAGTTGGCGCTTGCCGCCGGCCCCCACGGCCTTGCGGTTCGCGAACTGGATCTTCTCGTTCAAACCCATCCTGGGGACGAAACGTGTGCGGCCAGCCATGGTCCATGGTAAGAATCCTATCTTACCTGGCCATCTGGGGAAAAATTGGTGCCAAAAACTCCAAAACTTTCTTCCCAAATTGCAGTATGGCATGTTTTGTGGGCCTGCATACCAAACTCAAAAATGTACATGTTCTCTCATATGTTGAGGATGTTTTGTTAGTACCCCAGCACGATTTGCAGGACCAACCTTCGATTTTTTGGACTGCAAACCAGCTCGGAAAAAAACGGAAAGCGTGTCAGTATGTGACATGCATTGGCACCATGTTGTTTTTCGATGGCGCGGGAACTGTGGGAAGTGGTGAGACGGCGCTGGAAGCAGCATGTGCTGGATGCCATAGGTGTATCTATATAGTGGGTATGAGGAGTTGATTGGAGGTAGCAGTAGTGTAGAGTGTATTGTATGCAACACAATGGTGATCTATAATTTGAGTAGATGTGACCGTGACGCTGCTATTTGCCAATCTTGTTCTTGCTGGTGTTCTTGTTGTGCTTCTGGTTGTTCTTGTTTCTGTTCTCGTTGTCTTAGAGGTTGTTGTGCTGTTGAGGTTGTTGATGTTCTTGGTGCTGTTCTTTGCGGTGCGTCTCGCAATATGCTAGTATGTTGCGTTTGTTGCTTTGTTGCTCGTACTGTCTTAATGTCGTTGCGAGTGCATGAACTCCTTTAACCAAGTGGATGCAGCGGCCAAACATTCGTCAAACCGGGCCCCCGCACTCACCTACACCGTCCTCCCCCACTCCCCCCTTTTCTAGAGGAGGAAAACTAATATAGCCAAACGCACGTGAAAACTTATTTGTTGCAGCTACTGTTGGGTTGCTTCGGACCTACGTTCACTTTATTTTGGGTTTATGTTTGAACTCTGAACCGAGTGGATGCAGCGGCCCAACACTCGTCAAACCGGGCCCCCGCACTCACCTAAACCGTCCTCCCCCACTCCCCCCTTTCCTAGAGGAGGAAAACTAATATAGCCAAACGCACGTGAAAACTTATTTGTTGCAGCTACTGTTGGGTTGCTTTGGGCCTACGTTCACTTTATTTTGGGTTTATGTTGGCCCATCTTGGGACTATGTTAGTGCCAATCTTGTTCTTGCTGGTGTTCTTGTTGTGCTTCTGGTTGTTCCTGTTTCTGTTCTCGTTGTCTTAGAGGTTGTTGTGCTGTTGAGGTTGTTGATGTTCTTGGTGCTGTTCTTTGCGGTGCGTCTCGCAATATGCTTGTATGTTCCGTTTGTTGCTTTGTTGCTCGTACTGTGAGTGCATGAACTCCTTTAACCAAGTGGATGCAGCGGCCAAGCATTCGTCAAACCGGGCCCCCGCACTCACCTACACCGTCCTCCCCCACTCCCCCCTTTTCAAGAGGAGGAAAACTAATATAGCCAAACGCACGTGAAAACTTATTTGTTGCAGCTACTGTTGGGTTGCTTTGGGTCTAAGTTCACTTTATTTTTGTTGGGACTATGTTTGGTTTTGTTGAGTTGTCTTGGGCCTATGCTGGGTTTCGTTGGGTTGTCTTTGGCCCATCTTGGGACTATGTTGCCTCCCCCGGGTTGCTTCGGGCCTACGTTTACTTTATTTTAGGTTTACGTTGGGCCATCTTGGGACGTCTTGGGCCTATGTTGGCCCAGATGGGACTATGTTGGGTGTTGCTGAGGTCAATGTTGCGCCATCTTGGCTCTCTGTTGGCCTATCGTGAGGCCATCCTGGGACTATGTTGGGACCATGTTGGGTTTTGTTGGGTCGTCTTGGGCCTATGTTGGCCCATCTTGGGACTATGTTGGGCGTTCCTGGGTTCTATGTTGGGACATCTTGGCTTTGTGTTGGCCTATCTTGGGGCCATGTTGCGCCGTCGTGGGACTATGTAGAACGAAGAAAGGACATCAAAGTGCAAAGAAGCCAGTTTTTCACGGTATTTGCAGTGTGTTTTACACATAGCACGTTTTAGGCCCACCTCCCTCGAAACAACAAAAACGACAAAATTTGGCTCTCGTGTAGGTAAAACGCACTTTTTGCAGCAACTTGACTCCTTGCAATTCTCCCCAAAGAGCAAATTTTACTGTAATTTGCAGTGTTTTTTGCACCTCCTCAACACCCATTTGGAACCCCAAAATATGCAAATCTGTACCGCCCCCCCCCACACCCCCGCCCTTTTCACCTACCGGAAAAACTTCCAAGCGTTGGAAACGCTTTCCGTAATCGCAACCCAGTGGCAATTTCCAATGAAGTCAACCCTGACATTTCAGCAGTTTTCTACATCAGCATACTCACAATGATATCATTTAGTGCTATAGATATGCCCTTACTTACTATGGTTAACATCATTGCCAGTTTCCCATTTGATTAGATGAGGAATCAATGCAGCATATTGCATAAGCAAAAAACGGATTTGCTTAAGGGGTCCCGGAAATATATAAAATAATCACTATAGTTTCCCCAAAACCGTTGAAGTTCCATTGGGAAAATAAAAAACACCTTAAAGAAACCCAGGAAAACATGTTTTCCACCTAGGCATTTCCCAATGGCGCATGTCTTGCAGGGGAGCACAAAAAATAACAAAGTAGTGGAATGCGTGAAAATAGTTGTTCAAAACGGTTTGCTCAAAGTTTGAGGCGTTCTCATTTTATGGGATAGTCCCCAAAAATCAATATAGTTCAACTCTACCTTGGCCCAGGTGAATGTCCCAACCTAATTTTCCACAAAAAGGTTTCATTCCGCAATTGCACATCATGGCGGCTCCAACTTTCAAAGGGGCGTCTGCCGCTGAGTGCCAAAATTTATTGCAACATGCTATCCATATAATTATTCCTATGGTCTGTATCCCAAAGAACGAAGTGTTTGAACGAAGTGTTGGTCTGTGCTCTCGAACCAGACGCCTCAACCCACTGAGTCTGAGTCAACTACATCCTCACTTCCAACGTTTAACAATCCTTATTTTGTGGTTAAATTCTTCTTTCCGTTACTTCGATTTTCAAATAATGTACATATATCTGTATATAGTTATTATATAATACATCCACATACGTACGTATATTTCGTGGATTCATCATTCCATGTTTTGTTTGTCTATGTCTCCCATAACCCTGGCGCTTCCAATTTTCTTCACATCATAAGCGAAGCCAGGCGGCTGCTGGAATTTTTCCTGCGTGATCTTTAAGGTTTTGATTTCAGTGACCTCAGATAGGATGTTCCAGGGACCCCTGCGTTGACTTCAGCGTTTTCTCTTTGAAACTTCAAAATGGCCGTTTAAATAGGGATAGTGATGAGTAACCAATAAATTTAGGGGCGCCCCAGTTTTAGACAAACCAACATTTTGATCATGTAGCTGGTCCTGAGAAAAAACAATCGCAACTGGTAGCACGGTTTTTTGAATCCATGGAATTCATGGCCCTTTGCCAACGTTGAAAATGCCACCCGAAAACCCAGCTGCGTGCAATAGCTGTTTGGCATCAAAACACAAGACCCAATTTTCATAATTACATCGAAAAGATTCGAAAAGAAACTAAAATTACACAGTTGGGTTTGTCTGAAAAAGATGCATACCCTCCAAATCAGCATTTTCATTGTGATACTGTAAATGATCCATTCAACTTGGGGTACCATTTTTCAGACAAACCCGCATGTTAAAACAGCATACCCAACAATCCCAAATCCATACCACAGGAACAGGGCACAGCTTTGATGGTCGCGGAGCGTGGTTCATTCCGCAACAAGGCATTCTCGCCTCGGCCCGACAGGGCCCGACAGGGCCCGACAGGGCCCGACATGTCGGCGGCATCCTGGAATCTATGGGATGCACTCCATTTAGACCAAGGATTTCCCAGCTATAGATGGTGAACTAATTACAATGGAAATTCATGGGATAATGGGAAGAAATTGGCTATTTTCATGGGAATTACCTGGATATTAGCTCAACACTCGGAAAATTTACGAACCGGCATCAATCTTAGATACCTTACAAAAAAATCTAATCTTTGGCTGGTGAGAGCACATTTCCCCATAGCAAAAGATGAAAGTATTAAAGTATCTAACCAAGGTTGGCCCAGTAGAATGAAAAACACACACGAACACTAGATTTGAATGGGTGGGTGAGGTTTCCACTGCTCAATTGCCGAAACATTTGATCTCTTGGAGCAGAAATATGCTCACGCAAAACCTCGGCAAGTCTATTATTGCGACCAAGCCCCGGGCAAGGCTCTTTCAAAAACAAACCCAGGCAAGTTTAAATGGGGTCACATCAGCGCCTGTCAAGCTTCAAAAACTCATGCCAAGGCTCCAAAATAATCTCCCTGCTTCAGCGATGCAACCTTCTTGTGACTACCGCCTGACGTGGCTGAGCTTGCAAAACAAACTTGGGACGCCAAAGGCCAAAAGCTTCAGACTGGCTATCCGTTTGGAAATCCAGCGCTCTTCTAGCACTGTAATTGGGGGGCTCAAAAGACTCACGAACATGTGGCCAGCCAGCTTTGCCAGGATCATTGCGCCATGGGGCCGTTGCTTAAACATGGGGCGCCAACAAGTCCGCAGAATTGGTCAGCTTAGCATCTACGGTAACGATCTGGTTTTGAGGGGTCACATAATTTTGATGTATCCTTAAATGACAGGTTTAGTTCAGGCGTCGTGTTTCCAGTGTGCAGCAGTTGTGCCACAAGAATGTGGGGGAAGTTTGTAAGATGATGCCTGCGGCGTTGTGGGCGAAGAAATACATGGTTCAGGGATGTGCCTGGTCTATCTGCCTGAAACCTCCCAGTAGAATTAGGTGCTAGGAAATTTTCCCAGGAATTTAACATAAAACAAATGGCGGTTGGCGGCTTCTTCAAGCCATTAGATATATATTAGCCAATTATTCACACAAGGCGGGAGGCACTACCACTCGCAGCACGCAGTCACGCAGACTACGGGCATCGAAGAAACGAAACTCGCATTGGAGCCATCAAAGGAAGAGAAAAAACACAGTGAGCAGCTGATTGAATTAAAAAGAAACTTCCATTTAGACAGGACATGGTTACCGCCCACGAAAGTTACCCCAAGCATGCGATTGGCAGGGAAAGGCATGGCAACCTTCCCGCCCTTTATGTAGCCTGAATATGGATTTTCCCATAACGTTTGCATTTTTCGGAAACTTCGCCAGGCATGGCAGGAGTGTCAGGGAGTTTCTTAGAGATGATGTTGAGGGCTTTCCTAATCATAGTGGCATAGCAAGCTGAAGTCAAATCGTTGGCCTCAAGTCTCACTCCAGCATGCCAAGCAGCCCTAGCTGCAGAAAAAATGGTTGGTCCATTAGGATCGGGATCTGCTGGCAGGCAGTTTGCAGTTGGCAGCATCATGGGCATCAAGCAGTTGGTGGTCCTTGCGTGTAGTTTGCTGCATTGGGTACCAATCCCACAAAGGAAAATAGTCATCATCCTAGGAAGAGAGGATCGACAAAAATGGTCTGACCAGAAATGGTTGAAACGGATTGTAGATGAGATTTCCCCCTGTGAAAGTTCATGGGTGTAGTCTACCCAAATTGTGATGATCCTGGTGTTGGCTGTTCGATCTGTGCCCTAAAAGTGTGACTCAGGTCCTCCTCAACCTTGGTTGTGCTGAGTGACCAAGCCCACAAAAAGATTTCAAAGTTCAAACCATGATCCCACAGTTGAAATACATAGGTCCGTTGAAAAACAACGAACTGCCCAACCTGTGACAACCGCGAAAGTGGAAAAGAAAGTAACCCTGGTGTGTAGATGACTTTCCCGTTCTGTCCTAAATAAGTCTGTCACAGATGATTGTTGATGTGAAACCAACAACATACCATTTTATGATTGCTAAGTCCCCAGTCCTTGCGGTAAAATCTAAAATCTGCAGTACAAATTGAGAATTGGTAGGCCCTTCTTATCAACATTTCTCAACACATCCTCACATCGCAATATGTGTCTATATATGGAGGTTTCCTGAAATAGGGGTACAGTACCCCTTAATCATGCATTTTAATATGATTCTTCATTATAAACCAACCATTTTAGGAATCCCCAATTTGTGGAACCCCCATATATGCATATAAAATATTGTATGATCACATATATATATATGTTTATACACCATAGGACCATCTATGGGACAGAGAAATAAGGAGCATCTGAGCACAGTGCTATTTTGGATCCTTGAAGCGGCCATCTCGAGCCCAACAACTGTGATTCCCAGGGCCTTCCAACACATGTTCATACGATCATGTCTCATGCCGAAGAGCTGTCTCAAGTAACTTGGAGCTAAAAAAATCCTGATGGATTCCCACTGGAACCTGGCATGAAGCTAAAGGAATCCAAGTGGAAGCTTAAAAAAACACAAAATTAATATATTTGGGTGTTTCTTTCTTAATGGAGACCCCATTCTAACCATGGCCTCTAAGGAATATGAACATCGTCAAATGTTGATGAACCTCCGCGCCTTCGCTGACAAGAACCTCCGCTTCACCCGATTGGATGATGAAAAATTCTCGGCCCACATCACCTGAGTCGTGCCGCTTGGTGGCTCGTTTGTTCTCCCGCTGATTCCAGGGGTACCCGGCTTAAACGAAGAAAAAGATGTGGAAAACCCCATGGTTTCCTTTGGAAAATGATCTACACATGGTGGGTTTTCCACATCGAACTGTTAGTTTACACGAGGCTAAGTAGTGAATTTGCGGATTAAGTTGCTTGCCAGTTTCAGTGGGATGGTTGGTAGTCCTTAAGGACTTGCGCGCCGTGTTTGTGAAGGCAACCAAAAAAGGTCACTGAAAAAGTCAGAAAAGATCGAGTATCATTCTACTACAATCCACCTCCAATATTGCGAATCAACTTGCTGGACACATGTGCACTAGCGAGGCTTTAGCTATGACTTTTTTAATGGATGTGTTGGGGGAAAGGCTTCAAGCCGGGGTTATTTGTGCCGCACGTCCGGCCACCCAGCCAGGATTGAGATGGGCGTTTCTTGCTGACATAGCCCTGGTAAAATAACCCAAAAAAAGGATGGATCATACAATCGTGGTGTGATTCCTGTATCATGGGAGGTCAACGGGATATCTTTCATCATCCAGTATTGAATGCTCTATCAGACTCTGTCAACATCTGTGCAAAACAGCCTAAGCCACAATCAGCCAGCATCATAGCATCTGATATCCCCGGCTTCTCAGTTTCAACTCCCATACACCAACCCAAATGCACAAACAAGGTGGAAACCCAAAAAGTATAAAAGGTGGCAAAAATGTCTGAATCTCGATAAAATGGGTGGAACAATCCATGGGTTAATTCCCTAAAAATGTCCTATGGATTCCCTAAATCTCCTATGATCTTCCCATGTGTTTTCCCACAAATTTTCCAGGATTTCCCACTTAAATTTCTCAGGTTGTCCCATGAATTTCTCAGAATTTCCCAGGATCCCATGAATTTCGCAGGATTTCCCATAAATTTCCCATGAATTTCCCATGTTTTACCACCCTAAAAACCAGGTTCTGCCGAGGAACCCTGGGTGATGATTGTCTGTCCCGCCTTGAAGGGCTGGTTCACACAGGCTGCGGCCAAAATGGGATGCTGATCCTTCGGTAACCTCGATGACGATAAGACGTAGATGTAGATCCAAAGATGGGGAGAAAACTTTGGAATATTTTGTTGGATGATTTTGGGATCAACTTGGGTTAACTGAGATTAGTTAGGATGTGATTATGATGAATTTTAGTTGGATGAACTAGAATCTGATTGGTGGTAACCCCAAGAATATGATATCGTGATCTCAACCAATCATCCCAAAACCGACCAAGATGGGGCTTGCTTTGGCAAGCAAACATAGCGTGCTGGGAAACCCAGGACATTCCACTGCAAAAAAAGGATTCAAACCCAGCCATTTTATGGAGCTTTGGGGCCAACATTGCTATGGGTATGGATGGGGAGGTTTTGGCGCCTGGAAGTCTGCGCAAAATACGCGACATCGAGTTACGGAACTTTACATAATATATATATATAACTATATATATATATATTTCACTGTTTAGATTATGCTGGTGTGCAATCAAATGTGATGTCATGCAAGCGGATGGACAGTTCAAAAGCATCTTCGAAACCACTTACATCCATTTGCAACAAGCCCTTGGCCACAACGCCTAAGACTGGCTTGCATGATCCCGCCTCATGAAGAGGGGAACGTGTGAGAGAAACGACATAGTTTCCTCATACTTCTTGTTCTCCTCGTGTGCGCGAAATAAATCATGAAGCCCACTGGCTGATCGGTGAATGTTTGAGGCTTCAAATTTTTCAGGGGGTCATTGACACGCCGGGAACATGAAATGGTGAATGTGAGTGCCAAAAATTGAATGCCTGGGAAATGCCTTGCAAATTCGAAGTTCAACCATTTGACCAGCACGAGGCTTTGCAAACATAGACTCCCAGACAGGATGAATTTAAGGCCGCGCTATGAAAAGCCAGCATAGGCTTTGCTGCAATTTCCCAAATGTAAAGCATGAAGCGGCAAGACACATGGTGCCAGTGATTATTCCAACTTCAATTTGACTGGCCATGCCATGTCTTCACACCCCAACACGAAACCTAGAAATGGCAATGTCCATTTGCACTTCGCATCATCAACTGAGAGATGACTCCACTTTTTCCAGCTCCTTTCAGAAGTGTCCATTGGGTACACCGCCTATCAACTAGATTCACCGGGGTACACTGCCTCTTCATTGGAGACCGTGCTTGGTTCCCCCCTTTCAGTGACCCCCCAACAAAAGGCAGCTTGCTAAGGCCTTATTAGTGATTGATGGTGGTTAATAGCCCTTACTAAAGCCATTGAATTTATACTATTGTTTCCACAATAAAGGGCTAATCACTGATCCAAAAATGCCAAATTTCTCAACTATCCCACCTTTGTACTATTTAATAAGCCTTACCCTCTGGTAAACTAACATAGCTATAATAGGTAAATCCACTATAAATGATCATTTTCAATAGCTATGTTAGTCATTACCAGAGGGTATTTGTCTATTGTTGTTTCGTGAGATTCCCATGTTTTCTTCAGCCATGATCCACCTGGGACGTCGCAAAAAAAAATCCCAACTGTCCTCCTTGGCCTGTTGCTTATCGACCGCATTGACAGTGCCTTTTTTTTGCCAAACACGGGTGGTGTTTGATACGTTGAGTGGTTCATAAATTGGAAACCTATGATTAACATGGAAAATGATTTGATCACCACTAAGACTTGGATTTGACTAGCAACAATGATGCTACAATATCGCCAACACAACACTGTGGATTTCAGCGGCTAAAATCAAGGTATCAAGGTGGGACTAATATTTAAGCTGGCAAGTTGAGTATGAGGAAACCAAGTATGGGAACCAAAATCTCCAGATATATAGAGATTGGCTCATATCACCGACCACATGGGGCATTTGCCAACAAACCTGGAGATGTTTTGTTGCTACCAGTACCGTGGAGTGAATCTATCCCTTGGAAAAAAAACCATGGCAACGGGGCATCAGTGACCAAAACCCTGGCGCTTTTTGGGGGTTCGAGGTCCCAGTCCCAACTCAAAGGGCTGCAGTTTGCAAGTCTTGTAACTCCCCATTTTCTGATTTGATTAGATATCGATCCTGATGTAGGATGTGTATATATATATAATTATATATATACATGTCTGGCATTCTTAGTATAGGATGTAGTGATAGACATGTATATATCTATACATAGAAATGCAGTAGAAACGATTATCCTCAACAAATTCGCCGAGCTACCGGAAGAGTTCTCTTTCTTTTTTGGGCTGGTGCCACTGCTTTGCACGCACCCCATCCCACTGCGTCGACAGCGCGGAGAACGTCAGGCAGTTTTTCGCCTTCGTCCTAAGCTCTCGATGTTCTTCGGGGAGTTGGGTGTCTGAAGACACGGGAAGATATGGAAAAAAATCAGGAAAATGTGGGAAAATATAGGAAAATGTACAAAGTGATGGTATTGACAATCAAATTTGGGGGTACATTTTCAGCCCCCTCTTTGTCACCGGCTTCAGTTCCAGCAGCGCCTTCAAAATCTAGGAAGGTTTCAGGTAGATTTCTGATTAATTAAAGCAATTTGGTGCTCCCTGTGCACCCAAGATTGCCTAACCCTGAGAAACTACTCTACTAATGTTGTGGGGCCCCATCAAAACATAAGCGACAACACACCACCAATCGGACGAGATCGGACGAGTTGCCTCCGGCACGCAAGAATGCGCAAAAATAAGTGCTCTAGATGTGTTTGGAGCCGGTTAGCCCTGAAGCAAACGCGGCATCTTGAACCGTAAATGGCCACGTGTTTTTGTGCGATTCTCAGCTGGTTGTGACCCGCAGCCCCTGCTTGGGATGATGGATAACCCGCAGGCTGCTCCAGGGGATGGGGTATCTTTTTTGGGTTTACCACATTACAATCTAAACTCGTTTTCTTTGGTGTAGAAGTATCTCATATATATATATATACACAGTTGTATATATATATATATATAATCCCAAGAAACCCCCCCAGGATTACTGGGATGGAAGATTTCCTCATAGAAATTGCCTGGAAAGCGACATTTGAAAGGATCGATCTGTTCGATTCCAAAAGGAGCACTGCACTGCTACCCCACACTACAAAACAGTGCCTTGAAGTACAGCCTGGAATCTTGACATAGCACCCAAAGACTGACATTTCAAGAAGGAAAATCCATCTTCCAAGCTCGTTGTACATCATAAATTTCAGGGAGGCGCTTCCCAAACACTGCAAGAAGCTGAAAAGCTCTGCAACATTTTGGGATCCAATCCGTTTCTATCTCGCCTTGTTAAGTGATATTTCACTGGCTGCCACGGCTTTTGCCATTCAAATGTAGTGGTTTTCCAAGCTCCGCTGTGAAGGAACGCCATTTTGGGGAGTCTACGAGACGCCCCAAAGTGGCATCGTGAATGCCACCGCTTTTAATCAGCCCCCTACTGTAGGAAATATATATACATATACATACACACACACAGTGCCTGACTACCCTCAATGCATTGCAAACTCCGCGTTTTTTTTTCGATTTCCGATAGAGAATTGGGGGGTGAATCCCCTTTCCACCTTGGAACTGTACGTCCCTGTCTTGAGTTCTCCTATCCACTTTTCTATTGTATATCAAATGCCACCAACAGTGGATAGTGCACTTAATAGAGTGGGGTCGAATCCTCAAAAAATGTTGTGGGGTACCCTCTGGTACTTGAAAATAGCTATAGAAAATGGTTCATTCATAGATGATTTTCCTAAAAAATGATGGTTTTCCATGGCTATGTTAGTTCACCAGAGGGTATCGTGATCAGAGCACGAGGTCGGTGACGGTCACGGTGGATTAGGGGATGTTCCAAATTCAATGTACCCTTCGGCCCTTCGGTAATCAAACGTGGCAGGGACAATCCTACATAAAGGGTGTTTTGATGGGAACATCATCTATGAACAATGGATGTTCCATGGCCATGTTTGATTACTGGAGGGTGTATCATATAGTAATATAGTGATTAAGTGTGTATATCCGACTAGTATATGAAATCGGGAAATAATGGGATATGTAACCAACAATCTGATGTATGTGATTTACCTAATATATTTATAAATACACGCCCAGTGCATCGGCAAAACCCTGGCACCTGGATTATTTTTTGATATCCATCCCCTCAAATAAGTTCGTCCGAAAATGTTGCTTTAAAAACAAAATAAAATGGTTTGTCATCATTTTCACATTGAAATGCTTTGGATGGAAAGAATCCTGCACCAGCTGGCAGATGGTAGAAATATGTAGAATCTGTAGAAATCCCATTCTAATCATTCTAATCTGAAATATTTACAGTGTTTCATAGGAATCCCAATAGTTCCATAGTTACCATATGTTACCATCTGCTGCAGGAAATTCATCCCATAACCACGTCGCTTAGCCGCCGCGGCCTGCGCCGGTCATCTGGACGACGCAAGACACCTGGAAGTTCCGAGTTGGCGTCTTCAACTTCTGGTGGATCGATTCCACCGAAGTTACCATCTGGTTAATTAAGAGTTAGCTATTGAAAATGGCCATAGAAATAGTTAGTTTTCCCATTAAAAATGGTGGATCTTTCCATATTTTTTGTATGTTTACCAGAGGGTACCATCTGGTTAACATAGCGAACTGGAAAATCCCTGAAAAAAAAAAACATGGAGGTTTCAAATGCTGGGAAGATCATCTATGGGCCATGGCTTCCATGGCTATGTGAAATAACCAGATGGTATACCTGGCATATCTCAACTTATGGGCCTTTCGTTCACGCCAGGAAGTTCACTGCCAACAGGCCACTTGTTACCTCCACTCCCAGGCGATCTTGATCAGTGATAAATCAGAAATCCACTGAACCTGGCATGATTTAGGGGATATAAATTGGGGGATATAAATGATATAAATCATAAATGAACCTGGAAATCATAAATCCTAATGTTTAGGGGATATAAATTGAACATTAGGATATCAATTGGGGGATCTACTTCCAGCTCATTGGGGGATATAAATCAATTCGCCTGGCAAACATTTCTCAATGGGGCCGAAAAAATCCCCCAATGCACCGATCCATCATACGGGTAAAAAACAACACGGCGCGTGCGCTTCACGCATGGGGATCCAAGCCATGTGGATTCAAGAGTTCAGGCCACGCGATTTGATTCAAGCCACGCTTGAAGAGATATTTACCCTCTGGTAAATTAACATAGACCCTGGCAGATAGGGGTTGGAAGACTAGTTTCCATTGAACATTGGTGATTTTCAGGGTCTATGTTAATTTATCAGGGGGTAATTCACATAGTCAATGAGGATGGGTGAAAACTGATTCTTGTGTAATATGCACCGTCTGTTATTTGTTGGGTATTGAGCGAACAAAAAATATCAGAAGCTTGCAAGAAGCATATATAATATATACCCAACTGTTTTGTTTATATGACTCGACACTGGTCGATACGCTTGGAAAAACATAAAAACTGGTCGAGACACGTAGCAAACAAAGCAATTCCCTAGGCCATGGCCAGGACAAAATCAGAATACAACCAGTCACAATGACAACACAACAGAAAGGCATAGCATCATTAGCAAAGAAAGAAAACACGTGCAAAGAGGGATATTCTAGCTGGCAGTACAATAACCACACCATGTAGCCTGCAAACGCATCACAAATAACTCTATGAAACTATATACATCAAAAAACATATGTTATAGGCAAAGAATCAACACAAAGGGAAAAAGAAAAACGTGAGGGGTCCCCATACTTGCATGCGCATCCTAGTTGGCAACTGGATACGAAGTCCAGATATAGCTACGTACAATGTCAACCCTGGATTCATAAACCGTGGTTTATAAATTAGGGGGGTACTCCCCAAATTGTTGGTAATCTAATACTCAAATGGTACCTCCCCAATCAAACAGCGGGGTTTATTAATCCGGGATTAACATTAACTGGGTTGTAATCATGGTAAATGATAGTAAATGATAGTAAATGATAGTAAATGATCGTAAATAACCCATAGGATCCATGTATGCTATATATGGTAACATTTACCATCGATATACCCCCAATGGTAGCATATATACCAGCACCATGGATCCGTCATGGGTAGTGGTAAAATGTGGTAAATGGTGAGTACATCGAAGCAGCCTTCTCCGAGGAACTTTTGATGGCAGTTGTGTCCTCAAACAAGTCGCAGCGCACGATCCACTCCACCAAAGTCAGCCTCGGCCCCGAGGGACACATGGCGGAGGGTACCTGAAGATTCTGGGAAAAAGATGGGAAAATGACGTCTGTTAAGGACATGATAGGAAATGTTAGTTCTGCTTTGGACAATCATGTCCTCAGTTATCTCAGTTTTTTTTGCCAGCTTTAAAAATGCAACCCCCGATGTTTGGACAAAGCCACCAATTTCAGGCATTGATTGCCGGAAGTGAAGGCATTCGGTTTAGGGTTGGTTGCACTCACTGTATGTTCTAGATCTTTTGGGGTTGTTCTATACATACCTATACATACCTATTGTGACATAGACATGTATATATTCTGCAGATCCTCATCTGCTGTGCCCTTGTTACCGCAGCCCGAGGTTGATCGTCAGTTTCGTGTGTTTCAATTCGGGAAGCTCACAATCAACTGAAATTAAGCACTGATGGGTCAACCCCTGAGCTTGGCAGGTTATCCCAGCTGAGGCCTCGGCCTAGTTCATTTCGTATTGCAGGTCTTCGATTTCGGAGTCATGACCCCAACATGATCAAATCCGATCATGGTCAAAACATGGGATTACTGGTGTTCATTCACCCGGAAACCACCCCCCCATAATGGAAATCCTAAGAATGGGTACATAATTAGATACCTATTATGTAATGGAAATCATTGAATTCATGACAAAACCCAATGGTATACAATCCCACTGTTGACTCGACTCTCGCATGAACTCAGAGGTCCATAATGACACAGCCCCGGACTCTGGTGGTAGGGTGTTGACCATGGCATATGGTTGGCAAACCTAAAGGTGTAGTTGCTTGGCTCCCGACGCTTTTTTGGGAATATGAAGACGAGTAGCCGCTCCCTTCTAACCATTAGCAATGGCTTGGATTTTCAAAAGGGCTCAAAACTATTACAAGTTGGAGTGACTTACCCTTCAGCTTGTCCCAAGCTACCGTAATTTCTGCATTTGGAAAGACCTGGTGCGACTTCCTAGATTCCGTGTAGACATATTCCCTATAGATTACCCAAATGCTTCATGATGTTGACTCTCTATTTGAAAATGAAGAATCACCTTCAGCAAACCCAGCATTATACTTGTTCGTATTGTTGATTGCCTATTACTACTAGGGTATCAGTAACAATTATTCTGGCAGAAAACCAAAAATAATTGTTATCATTCTTCCCCGTCCCCCAAAAAGTGGTACCCTCTGGTAATGACTAACATAGCTATGGAAAATCCCCATTTTTAATGGGTAAATCCACTATGTCTATGGCCATTTTCAATAGCTATGCTAGTTCACCAGAGGGTATCAATAACAACTAGTTGATTGTCCCTCCCGAAAATGCCCTGTTATTGATTAATCGATCGCCCGCCCAGCCGCTCAATCCCCTCGCCGAGAGCAAGGTCGGCAAGGAGAGGTCCCTGGTACAAGGCAGCATCAGCCATGAAAAATGGACATTTTGGGGGCGGTATTCTCCATTGAAAAATGAAATCATCCAGGGAAAAACAAGAAATCGTTGGGCTTTCACCCGAAACACTGGAAGGTTTTATAAATGTCCAATGAGTCCAATCTAAATATGATATAATATTATATGTATGCATAATTAATATATATATATATATTATTATAAACAGTTTATGTATGAATATATATATATATATATTCATGTATATATATATATATATTCAGATGTATATATATATATTCATATGTATATATATATATATTCATATGTGTATATATATATATAATTATATATATATTTGTGAATTTATAGGCCTTTGATGAACAAACATGACGATTTGCCATGGGATTGAAGGACTTTGAACGACAAAAAATCAGATGTGATCAAAATTTAGGCGTTTCCACTAGAACATGGAGATTCAACTGGTTGTACCCTCGGGCGATCAAACATTGCTGAAAAATTCCCAATGTTTCTCCACAAGACATTCCTGAAGGAAAGTATATCTTTACATTTTATGCTAGAATTCTGGACAAAAAAACATCAACATGTCTGAAACCAGCAAGCAGAATTTCAGGGCACGGGTCAGGTCAGTCCCCCCCCAAAAAAAAGGGAAGCACCTCGAACCTGGCCCGTTCCGATAGCCGCAAGCTGCTTGCCGCGGCCAGAAGCCATGCTGGCGCGGCGGCACTATCGAGGTCCAGGCAGATGAGGCCTGATGGGTTCCAAATCACTGGATGAATGGAGGGAATCCACAGATCACCATGGTTATTACCCTATGGTAATTTAACATAGCTATTGAAAATTGCCATTTATAGTGGATTTACCCATTGAAAATTGTGATTTTCAATAGCTATGTTAAATTACCAGAAGGTACCATGGTTTTTACCCCTAAGCTGGTTGGGGATTCAACGGTAAATAGTCCAATATATAGTGCCATGATCCAATTCTGGAACTCAACGGTTGACATTTCCATTGGAAAAATGAATGAAAATGATGAAAAATTATGAGGAACTATGAGAAACCATGATGATCATCATAGGATTTGTGGGTATATAATGGTGGATATATATATAGCCTATGCTCAGACAATGCCAAACATCTCCAAAAATTGGGGTGATGAACCATGGTTCTGGGTGACTTGAAAGTGGCAGGTCCATGCGTTGCCAGCTGTTGCGATGGGTGAGAAGGAGCTGCTGACTGCCAGGTTTGATGACTCCATGGCCATTTTGCGAGGGAAAGTGATGATAGACCCTTGGATTTTGGGATTGCCGATTTTGAAACAACACCAAGTGAAAATTCCCTCAACCCCAGGAGTAAACCGAGAGTGAACCCCCTTGGATGGGGTGGTTCCACCACCGTGTCACCTGTGTCATTTGTCGAAATGGCAAGTCCTGAGGTCGTTCTACCTTCTTTTGTAAGCCAACACTGCAGAAATCCTATCTTTGCTGGAAAACCATCGACTGTTCGGTGTGAATTTCCATGGAAGGCTAGACAACGTTCCTGACAATTCCCATACCTTGATGTGTAATCCCTCTGGTCCGTCCACTCATCTTTCATCACAATTCATCAACTTATTTCGCAAAGTGATTTGGGGTTGGATCCCCATACGTTTTCACAATTACTGGTTGGTGGTTTTAACCATCTGGAAAAATATTAGTCAATGGGTGGGATTATCCCATATATTATGGAAAATACAAAATGTTCCAAACCACCAACCAGGTTATTTCACTATGATGTTATACCTTCCATCATCTGAAACGGTGAAGAAGTTGTGATCCAGGTCACCATCTTATGAGCCCGGAAGTGCCAAAAAAATATGCGCCAAAGATTCCCAACAAAAATTCCCAACATAGATCTGTGCATCTCCCGGGGAAATGGGCCGTGGACCTTGGTCATTCTGCAAGTGCTTCAGCTTTTCGGGACAAGGCCTGCGCTGGTATCCCCAACTTCCACCGTATCAAATTGGGATTTGACCCCACAAGGACTGCGTTGTTCAAAGATATGTGATAATTTGAGGATGGTTTCCTAAGTCATAGGGGTACCCCTAAATCATCCATTGGAATAGGATTTTCAATTATTAACCATCCAGCTATTGGGGACCTCCATTTTAGGAAACCTCCATGTGATGATTCAAACACATGTGCTTTTCAAGCAAATGTGATGCTTATGCCTTGATTTAACCATTCAAAGCAGGGAGATCACAAGGAATCCAGAAAGTACAGAAGTAATGAAGTAAGGATGTCAGATGTCACCACGCAAAATGCGTCTTGAACCAACACAAAAATGGGGGGATGGAGCAGCAAAGAAGGGAAGATTTTCGTAATAGTGGTTGCAGCGCATCCGTTACAAATCAAATACTCCTTGTGGATCATAGGCACAGATATGTTGAAGGGAAAACTTCTGGCTTTTTTGTACTCTGGGTGAGTTTTACCTCAACAACAGTTGAGCATCTAATTATTTAACAATGATTGGGGATATCAATCAACATATGTATGAAACCACTAGAAATTTCATTGGGATTACTGTACATTATCCCCAAGATTTGTTGGTTCCCCATGATTGTTGTGAACGTTGAGACCATCACAATGGACTATATCCTTCTCCCTCCCAATTACATGGCCTTATAGCATATCCTGGGATACATGTACATGTATACATATGTAAGCATGCTGTTGTCATAGTTGTATTTCCCAAACTAACCACGTCCCCAGAAAAAAGCCACGTTTGATTGTTGATTATATGTGCCACTGAAAATTTGGTTTCGGGTGTTTTTGGCTTGCTGTCTGTACCTAACTATCCAGCAGGTTCAATCAATTCTAACCTATATTCCTCACTTTTGGTGATCTATATTTAAGACCACCAACCAACGGTTTTGTCTGACAATGTTTTGGGATAAAAACACACGTGCCATCCACTGGCTAATCATCATTTTCCCCTCTTGAATTGCTTGAGATCTATAGTGATTGGTTAATGATGATTCCCAGAGTGTGTCACAATAATCCCCATAAACCAGGTAACATAATCCCCTATGATCATCAACCAACCACAATTTGTCAAATAGATTCCCATATGTTGTGATGGTGAATCGGGCTTCAATATGCTTCAATTCAGTTCAATGCCCAGAAAAAATGAATCAATCAAGGTTCTCAAACTAATCCTTCAAAATGCCGATGTTTCCTGGTTGGTGGTTTTAACCATCTGGAAAAATATTAGTCAATGGGTGGGATTATCCCATATATTATGGAAAATACAAAATGTTCCAAACCACCAACCAGGTTATTTCACTATGATGTTATACCTTCCATCATCTGAAACGGTGAAGAAGTTGTGATCCAGGTCATCATCTTATCATCATCTTATGAGCCTGATTTCTCAACCATCCACAGTACCCTCTGGTAAACTAACATAACTATGGAAAATCACCATTTGTAATGGGAAAACTCACTATAAATGGGGTATTTTCAATAGCTATGTTAGTCATTACCAGAGGGTAGTTCAATCCCTATTTTCCGTGGTCTCACCGGATGCACCTGCACTGAAGCACCACCGCATCACCTGGATTGGGTCTCTTCAGGGTCACACCGCCTCCGGCGGAAAGAGCTTGAGGTTTGCGTGAAAAAAGGTGGATTTAATGGGATATTTATGGAAGAAATGGGATATTTATGGGAAGAAATGGGATGTTAGCTCAATCCATAGTAGGAATATTTAGTATCCAACAAGTACAATGGGGATTAATCTCAGCTGAATGTTCGTGGAATATGAAGGGGATGGTATATTCATTGAAAAATCATGTGGATTTGGTAGATTTCACCAGCAAAAAATGATTTTTTACAACCAGTGATATTGGGATCATCACATAAATCTGTGATGGGATATCACAAACCAACTTGATATGATATTCTAGTTGGTGGTTTTAACCATCTTGAAAAATACGAGTAAGTCAAGTCAGTTGGGATGATGAAATTCCCAACTGTTTCTGGAAAGTCATATAAAATTCCATGGTTTGAAACCACCATTTCCCGTATTTGGGTGTGTCTGAAAATGCTGTTTACCCAAAAAAAATGGAGAAGATGAGGATTGCCGGCGCCGGGCACCCCGGCAGGACAAAAAGAAGTCGTCATGGTGAAGTCATGGTGAAGCTGGGACTTCATGTTCCCCAAGACTCATGAAATTGGAATGCTCATTGTACTTCAATGATTATTTGGAAATATGGAATACATAATATGTATATAATTGTATATATATATGATATAATATGACATATAAAATGATATAAGATATCTCAAGACTCATGCAACCATTCATGATCTTCCTCAATCAAATATTTCGTATTTGGATATATTTGGCTCAATGATTTTCAAGCTGTGGTTTCGCAGGTCTATGAAAACGGCGGAAAGGAGTCCAAATTTTGACATGGGGCACCACTTCCCCTCTGGGAAGCAAACGTGGCAATTGGAATCCTCTACACATGGCGGTTTTAATGGGAAAATCGTCTGTAAACGGTGAATTTTCCATTGGTATCAGATATGTTATTCATACCAAGATCTTTTCTAGTTGCAGCTTACGTATATACAATGACAATATCCACAATTATGTATTGGCCATCTGTTTCTGGGTCAAGTCAATGGGTATCAAGAAATTACACCATTTGTCCCCGTTAGTTACCCCAGTTTTGCGGGAAAGGTGGTTGATTGTGGCCTTTTTTTTAGCAACCCCAAAATAGACTAAACACCAGGAAACCTGGACATATATGCAGTTCATATCATTCCGAACATCCTGGAAACACCCATTTTTTAATGTTGAAAAATGTTGAAAACCTGAAATTCAATGGATTGGTTGATGGGAAACTCTACAGGAAACCATGGTTTTTACTAGTTTTTACTTCCCATGAAATATAGGTTTTTCCCCTAGATTTTCCCCTTAACCAATCCAATGAGAAATCACGAACCAGTCTGACCAGGATTGTGTGTGACCCAAAATGTTCGCCATCCGCAGTAATACACTCATGGTTTATGAAACTGGGCATGCCCGCACGAACGGGATGATTAATTTTTATTGTTGATATTTGGGGATGGTTTCTCATTGTTTTTCCACTATCTGGGATGATTATTCAATTCCAAACCAACATCAACATTACCATATAATATTATTGGATGATTGTCCAGGATTATGAGTTTTATAAAATGGAGGTTTCCATAAATGTGGATATATACCCCTAAATATGTTTTTTGATTTTCCATCAAAAACAATCCATTATTATGTGGATCCACCATTCATGGAAAATCCCAAATGATCACACCCTGCCTCCATCGGATGCCTCGAGGCAAGTCTTGCGGAGACCCTGCGGTTTTCCGCAACGCGGGTATTGCGCAATGGTGGTTTTGGTCTCAAGAGATTTCAAGAGATACACCCTCGTAATGGGTTCTAGTTATATCAAATTGATTCTTGGAAAACTATTGGACATGGACCTTGCTGAGTTCCATATGAAATTTGGGAGCTGTAACTTTGGATGGGTCCCCTGAAGAATTCACTTGTTTTTGAAATCGATAAAATGCCCACAGCCAAGGTTCACCCCGTTTGTTGCTTTCAACCGGGGTCAGAACCTTTCGCAAAAAAAACAATATACATGGACCTCCAACATGCCATCTGCAGATCGGGAAAGACATTCTGCCAAAAAAATTGGGTTCCATCTTTGGTACACGGGGCGTAAATGTTCACTTTGTTTGTTCTGAGCATCACCTGTAAATGGTTGTTGCATCCGCATAGTCCTTGCAGGTGGCACTCAATCCATCCCAAAACGATGGTTTGGTAATGGAATTCTGATAGATGGGGCTCGCGAACGATAGCTAAATTGCCAATAACATCTCATAACTGTGGTTTACAGTTTTTATGTATATACGCGGAGAACCGGAAGTTTGCCCGGAACCTATGCTTTCTGGCACGAAACGGCCCTTCTTTTTCACGGACCCCACGAAACGCGCCATGAAGCATTTTTGTGTCGTACGCGTGGCGAGGGGCCACACCTCCATCCCTGCAAGGCGGTTAGAACCGCGGATGAAACATGTCTTAAAACCGTGGGAAAATGGGATACAGTACATTTTGTCACCTTGGCCGAAAGTTAGGTTTTGCGGACGCTGTCGTGGCGCGAAGCACATTTCCAAGTCAAAAGTGTAAATACAGAGGGGTTCGGATCACTTTTGGACGTTCAGATGTCGTTTTGCGTGGCAGGCGCAAGGGATTGCGCACCTTGCCAAAGTGAGCAAAACGTGAGGGGTTTGTAGCATGTCGAAAAGCGATGGCAGGCGTGGGACATGTGGATCCTCTGGCAAGATGCATTTTCCGTGGCAGGCGCAGTACAAGAGACATGTTCGAGGTCCGGGCGCTGATTTCCTGAGAGGGGTTGCATTTTGGAGGTGGTGGTTTTAGTATTCAAGAAGCTTAAAAATCAATAAACATAACTTTTCGGGGTCCCACATTGTAGCTGGTAGATGTGCGGGTTCAAAAGAGTGGAACGGAGAGTGGTTTCACCTGGGCATGTCTCATGGGGTTGCAATGGACCATGCTTGGAAGGTCGCCACCAGGAAAAGGAGGTCAAAGACTCTTGAACCTTAATTTGGTTTGATCAAAATTGCATTAGGGCCTTGAGGTCCAAAACATCCACATCACCCAGATGGTGCTTGGAGTGTGCAAGAGGCCAGCCTCTGCATCACTGGCTGCACTGGCTGCGGTACCTGGTTCCACCTCCAAGTCAACCTCCGTGCACGGCAATGCAGGAGGTGGAGGTTGCGGCGACGCAAGTGTGTCTGACTCAACGCGGAAAACCGTCCACGGCACCAAGAAGGACAAGATGAAGGCCATGGCAAAAAGAATGGCACCATGACATCATGCATCCCAGCATTTCCAGCCCTCAAGCAAAACCGCAAGTTCGGCAGCGGTGGGAGCGCCATTTGACAGGAACACTGGGCCGCGGATGGGCAATGGCATCGAAAGAATGAACAAACTAATGGCGATGAAAGGAGAGAAAGCTTATCAGCAGTCTGAGCAATCGGAAAGATTACAGTGAACCTACTCCTCTTCATGGGATGTTGCTGGAAGTGCCAGCTGTGGCAACTCCTCTCTTTTCGGGTGATATTGGGGGGATGGGACTAATCCTAATATCAAATATCAATAATTACATCCGGTATATTTACATAATATCATATATATACAATATCATAATAAACATATAATATTCAGAAAAGGACGCTGTGCGCCCGTGCGTTTTGCACTGTTTTCCTTGCAGTGTTTTGCAGTGTTTTCCTCTTGCAGTGTTTTCACATCATCAAAGGGCCACAATAGGCCACAACATGCCCAAATATGCCAAAATAGGCCACAAAGGTCTAAATAAACAAAAAACAAAAACAAAAAAAAAGATTTCTAGAGACTGTAGGCATTGGGGGCATGTCTTTGGTTTTTTGTTTTTTTTTTTTTGTTTTTTGTTGTTTTTTTTGGTTTTTTCAGGCCCCAAGGGAAGGATGCAGAGAGTTGAGTCTTTTCATGCCCCAAGGGAAGGATGCAGAGTGTTGAGTCTTGTCATTTGTTTTTCTTCTTGCCAGTCAATGCATATGTCAAAACAGAGAATGTGTAAAGAGGAGTGCAAAAAGCGCACTCTCACAGTCCCCTGTTCTGAGAGCGGGGAACTGTGAGAGTGCGTTTTTTTCACTGATGTTGCATCAAGATATCATATATATGCCAACGATATTGCTGCAAGATCGCATCTATATGATATATATATATGCATACCTCAAAAAGTTTCATCCAGCTGGGTCACAAGAAACAAAACATATTGCACATGCACAGCGAGAAACTACATAACGCTATCAACGGTTCTATGTCATTTAGCCAGTGAAAATCAGAGAGAAAATTCAATTTTGCCCTGTTGCGCCATGCTCAAATGATAGGGTTTTGTTTGCTTCTATGTTGCAGGTTTTTATAGCAAGCATGAACAAGAGGAAACAGCACTTTTGATTGACAGAAGATTTCATTTTGTCCCCAAGCAGTACTGCATCTTCCAGAGCTCCCTACATAAAGAGATATGAAATGTTTTGCCAGGGTAAGCATATTGTTTCTTTGAAAAATGTTGTGTTATTAAACCCTAGTACAGCATCAACTCAGATTCTAAGGGCCACAGCATGCTTCTCATAAGTCATCGTTGAAAATTTGAAAGAATGTGGCATTTCTTGAGGAAGTTGTGGCATGCCTCTATGCAACATTCTTCTATAGAGGGAGCAACATTCCTTTGAGAAAGTGTAAAGCAAGACCAAGAGATGTGCATAGCATTCCTTTAGAACAAGTGCGTTCTGTCTTCCATATATTTTAATGAACATATGTAATTCCTTCCATAGAGGTAGTAGTCCTTTTAGAGAAGGGTAGCATTTCCTTAAGATAAAATATGCATATACATTAGTGTTTTTCAGAAAAGCGGCATTCCTTTCAGACAGTACTTGATGGTTTCATGAAATCTTGGTTTAAACACCGGTGTTATGCCATATTACTTCCATAAATATTATTCATTTGGAAAATACAATATAGTTTTCAATTAACATAATTCACTGTATGATATTATTAACTATATATATATATACAGTTACACACAATATTCCTTTCAAAAGTATGTAGCATCTCTTTGAGAAGTAGCCTTCAAGAAACACAGCAGTCCTAGTGAAAGAGTATGGCTGAGTATGGTGTGGTTTACAGTAAGTTGTTGTACAAAAGGGAGCCCTTTCATATATACAACAATCCCTTTCAAAGAGGGTGGTGTGTCTGTAAGAAAGCCATATTACTTGGAAAAATATTATTCTTTTGGAAAATATAATATGATTTTCAAATAGCATAATTCACTGTATGATATTGTTAACTATATATATATACAGTTACACACAATATTCCTTTCAAAAGTATGTAGCATCTCTTTGAGAAGCAGCCTTCAAGACACACAGCAGTCCTAGTGAAAGAATCTGGCTGAGTATGGTGTGATTTACGGTAAGTTGTTGTACAAAAGGGAACCCTTTCATATATACAACAATCCCTTTGAAAGAGGGTGATGTGTCTGTAATAAAGCGCAATGCATGGAATTGCCATTTGAAGAAGTATAGTGTTCCTTGCAGGAAATATAGCATTATTTTGAAAGGGTATTCTTCAATAAGCAATTGCTCTTTCAGAGACAACAGTGCAGCATGCCTTTATGCAAGTTTCCTTGAGAAGGATGCAATATATTATATTTGTTCATTCCTTTGAAAAGAGGATGGTATTCCTTGCTCAGAAGAAAACTACACAAACAGAGCCACCACCTCCAGAAAATCGGAAATTAGGCCTTCCTGTTCAGGATATTAAAAAAATTGGTTTCCACCCCAGCCAACCCAAAAAAACGAAATAATTTTGATTTTTAGTTCAGAGAGGTCCCTCTTAAGAATCTAATTTTATTGTTGACGAAGGGTTCCTTCAAATCGTCATACGTCATATCTTCCGCTTCCAAAGGCATGACGGGCACACGCACCAAGTAGCTTAGAAGGATAGGGCACGAACTACGGACTGGAGCATAAATATACATACATAATGTGACAAGTCATGCGATACAACCTGCAGCAATGAGAACAGGTCTTAAAACTCATTATATAGGGACTTTGTCAAAAATAGAGATTTATATGGAAATTACACGGGCGTGGATAATATTACATCTATTCCTAATATCATAATATCATATATATATATAATATATATATATATATGTACATTTTCCAGTGGAATTTCTTACTCCCAGCCCCACTTCCCAGCCCTTCCACGTCGAAAAAATCACCACCTTGGGCAGCTCTGGGGCAGGAAGATCATGGAAGTCTGAGCCACTGTCCTCAAGGGAGGAACATTTGAAGACTCTTTGGGTGATATGAGTTCACCTTCCAGGTGATTGAGTCCCCAAATCGTCGTCAATTTCGACCCAAGTGTTTGTCACTCTTTTCGCTGATCTTTCTCAAACTCGTTGTTCATAGCAATTGCGCGGGAAAGGCCGTTTCAATCCACTTGGACCGCTACCATGGTTGCGTTGAGCATTGCCGTCATTGCCAATCAACTCATTGCAATATAACTGGTTGGGTCTAGAAGTGTAGAACTATTGGGCCGTACATCCATATATTCATATATCCAAGGTGTTGAATCAAAGCATCACTTTTGCAGCTGGAAACCTGAAGGTAACTGGTGCCATCTCAATCTTGTTCAGCATCTAGGAAGCAGAGTTACCCATACTTCGTACTTAAGCGTGAACCATGCTTGCTACATCGCATACTCAGTGGCAGTCATGGCAATCCACCCTGAAAATCAACCGACACGATGACCACAGTATATTTTTCTACGCCCCAGTCGTGACATCTCCAAGCAGGAGATATATAACTGCTGCAAGGCCACAGAATAACCCTGAAGCCCGGGATCGAGATCTTCCATGGCCACAATGGGACGCCCTCTGGGGTGCTGGAAAAAATGGGAGGTTTTGGCACCCGGCCGGATGGTAATCTAAAATAGTTGGTTAATAGATGTTAATGGATGTTGATCCCAAACAAATATGATATGATTTAAAAAAAAATGTGTGTTGACCCATCACCATGTGAGATGTCTGGAAAAAAACAAATTGTTAGCCACTGGTCATTTTTACATAAGTATGGAAAAACACAATTTTCTATAGGTAAATCATCGAACTAGATGGTCCATTTTCCATAGCTATGCTAGTCTACTAAAGGGTAGTCACAACACAATATGGTTCGTTATAGACGCAGCTGTTGACCCAATGACACTGTCACCCCAGTTGCAGGTTTTGGACTCTAATTCACAACGCGTGAGAAGCAAGTCGCATCACGTTATACAATTCGATTGTTGCAAAGTGAAAGCTTCAAGCCAAAGTGCACGAGCATACGAGCCATGGTTTTAGGCAGACAGATGTCGCAATATGTCACAGTGCTTCCAGAGAGGGATGATGGCTCGCAAAAATGCACAACTGGGTTCATGGAATGGTTTATGCCGTATAATATGTTCATGTGTCCAATCCAAGTCAGCCGGTTCATTTCTGTACGGTTGAATGTGATCAATGCCTTCACCGAAAGCTACCCATTGACATTCATCAGATTAAAATACAAATGTGGGGATGGGTCAAAACCGATGAACTTACCATGTGACTGGGGGCTGGGAGTAACCATCCATTAACGAGCTATAATCAGCGATTTCCTATTTCAGAGTACCTAGGGCACCAGGGTTTTGACCCATATCCATCTCAACCCCGTCCAAAAAAAAAGAAGGCTTTCTGGACTCCATCAGAAATCCAGTCGCTTCATCAAGGTCGAGTCAATCGGAACCCACATGGAAAATCCACCAAAAATAAGTTCATGTCCTGGAAAATTCCGCATGGCTGTTCCACATGCTCTTGTATGTTTCGAGGCTGTCTGCTATATATACGTGTATGTGTATTTATATATATATATGTTATTATATATATAACATAATATAATATAATATAATATAATATAATATAATATAATATTACATTATATTATATTATATTATATTATATTATAGTTTATTATAAAATATAATATAATATAATATAATACAATATTATATATATATATATTATGTATATACATGTATATACATGTATGTGTGATATGCATGTTGTACATATGTTCATGACATGACAGGCCGTGTAAATCGATGCCACAACGTATTTGTTTTGCCTACGCCGTCACACTCCTGGCTGCTTTTGGAAATCTGGACGCGGAACTTGTGCTTACGCGACCACAGTCCCATCAACATTTTGATAAGTGGCATGCCTCGCGGCACCCTGCAGGGGCACCAGCTAGCAGGCTCCAAACCGCACTCTGCTCCCTGCAGCAGCACAAGCACCCAGACTCCAAAGCGCCCATAGACATCTTGCAGCCACACCAGCACCCAGGTCCCAAAGCGCACACTAAAGATCTGGCAGATAGATCACTGAAGGCTCAGCTAGTAGCTTTTGACTATGCTGGAGTCAAGCCAAGCAACGTGTTCGATGTCAGTAGCTTGGTGTTTCAACGTGCCGAAGGGCGGTTCTGGACAGTTCAATGCGTTGAATATGGACTCATTCGCACGTGGGCTGGTGGTCAGTCTGCGCACCCGAGCCTACGCGGTGCCTCCGCGCAGCCTACGCGAAGCCTACGCCTGTCCCAGGGGCCCCCTGGCAGAAGTCTGGTGAAACATTCGGCTCAAGCAAGAGCCTTATTGCCCTTACAGCAACAAGCAGGTGGAAAGCGCAGAACATCTAGACTCCAGTTGGCATGGACAGCTAGCGGTTTAAGCTGCCCCGCTGCCCTTGTATAGCTGCTCTGCCGGGCGGGTTCCACTGTTTGCTCGCATAGACGACTATCCATGAATGAACCTGGTGCCTTTGAACCTTTTGTGGATAACATTGGATCAATTTTAAAGCGTGAGATTGCAACGCCGATCATGTACGAGCAATTGAAATACTGTACAATAAAATCGTTGCCTACGCGAACCAGAAATATTTGGAACCTTCAAAAATGCCTACGCCAATCCTACGCAATCCTTACGCCAGCCATGTAAAACCACACCGAAAGCAACATCCAGTTTCAGCTGCAAATACACATAAATAAACCCCTTCATATTAAAAAAACGTAACTCATTTGTATTAATTATGATTTACCATAGAGTTTACTCTCCTCCATCAGTCGGTGTCCCCCCATCGCCCCACGATTTTCAACACTTTTTCCACTGACAGATGCGAGCGACCAGGAAGTCACTATGGGCAACCTGATCAACGGCTTGGATGGTTCTTAGGCTTTGAAATAGGAATGTAAAGTCATCCAAAATAGGAACGTCAGTATGAAAGATAGTGATCACGTGATCCATCCTATGAAAAATGGAGGCTATGTCTGAAAATGGGCTATACAGACCACTTGCAAGTCCAACCAATCTTAGGTCCACATCCAAATCTGGCAAGTACAGTAGTCTAGTCCTATACAGTGTTTATCATTACCGAGTGTATACAACTGTGTTTTTCTTGTGCACGCACATTGTTGTTTGATCCATCACCACGCTGTGGTTGTAAATCCCCAGCTTTGTTGCTTATATAACATATGGAGGTGTCCATAAATGGGTGGGGTAGCCCCAAATCATTTATTTTCATAGGATTTTCCATTCTATATAAAACATCCCAAAATTGGGGTACCCCCATTTCAGGAAACCCCCATTTTTATCACTTGAATTGCCTCAGACAACACCTTCATCGATTCTGAAGGCATCCTCTGAAATCCAACATGTTCATGATTTCCTGTCAAAAATAACCATAAAGGGTCGCTTCGATGCTATAAAATTTGGAAATCTAAGTGGGTTGAAGATTTCTGTAGGATGTTCTCATCATTAGGTTTTGCGAGTAAAAAATAATCGATATAATGATATAATATAATAGTTTTCAGGGATTCAGGTTTTGAAACGCACAAACAAACTGATCACCAGGTTTTCCCAGCAAAATAAATGATGTTCCGGGGCCCCAAAAACACATCCACACTACAGTTCATTGGCCGATGGAAATGGTTCTCCTGTTCCTTACTGAGCAATTATGAACCGTGGGTTGTTGTTGAAAAGTTGATCGTGATTGTCCATTGATTAGCGTACAAAATTGATTTTTTCCTATCAACCATGAACCATGGACCAGTGTTTTTGTTGGTCCTTTGGTTATTGATGATCATTGCTTAGGATGGCTCAATAAAGCTCCATAAGCAACAGCAGGTCGCTGCTTCTGCATGAAGTCTGTTCAGCTGAGGTCTGGACGTCCAGGCCGGGCATCACTGGGCGATGCTGCATGCTGAATCTTGGGCGATGGCAGCGGCGTTTAACATGGTGAGGTGTGTACATCTTCAGCCTGCCAACTTGACCCACGTGCATCATCACCGTTGTGACTGCGTCTACACCACGAGTGAAGCACTTATGGGCACTCACTATACCCTCTGGTAAACTAACATAGCTATTGAAAATGGCCATAGAAATAGTGGATTTTCCCATGAAAAATTGTGATTTTCCATAATTATGTTAGTTTACCAGAGGGTATAGGACATGATGTTAAGGGAATTCAGATTCAATCGATCATGTCAGGAGACTGCCGAGGTGAAAGTCGACGGGCAGGATCGCCTTTTTTGTGAAACGAAGCCAAAGTCAGGCATTGCTGACTAGTGGTTGTCAATAACATGTTGAAGCAGCTACAAAGGCTTCCCTTCTTGAAATTTGTATAAATTTATATCTTTGAGCTGGCACCTGGCTTTGAGGCACAATGCCAAATTTTTGGCTAAAACCAATGTGCCAGGATGCTCGGCACCGAGGGTGCGCTCACGGGCCTCCAAGGCTCTCCTGTAGAGCGGTTCTGCATCTTCCAGCAGGCCCATGTCTTGGAGACAAACTGCCAGACGGTTGACTGAGCTCAATGTGCGAGGATGCTCAGCACCGAGGGTGCGCTCACGGGCCTCCAAAGCTCTTCTGTAGAGCGGTTCTGCATCTTTCAGCAGGCCCATGGCTTGGAGGCAACCTGCAAGATTAACGACTGAGACCAATGTGTCAGGATGCTCAGCACCGAGGGTGCGCTCATAGGCCTCCAAAGCTCTCCTGTAGAGCAGTTCTGCATCTTTCAGCAGGCCCATGGCTTGGAGGCAAACTGCCAGATCGTTGACTGAGACCAATGTGTGAGGATGCTCAGCACCGAGGGTGCGCTCACGGGCCTCCAAAGCTCTTCTGTGGAGCGGTTCTGCATCTTTCAGCAGGCCCATCGCTTGGAGGCAACCTGCAAGATTGCCGACTGAGACCAATGTGTGAGGATGCTCAGCACCGAGGGTGCGCTCATGGGCTTCCAAGGCTCTCCTGTAGAGCGGTTCTGCATCTTTCAGCAAGCCCATGGCTTCGAGGCAATGTGCCAGATTGTTCACTAAGACCAATGTGCGAGGATGCTCAGCGCCGAGGGTGCGCTGACGGGCCTCCAAAGCTCTCCTGTAGAGCAGTTCTGCATCTTTCAGCAGGCCCATGGCTTGGAGGCAAACTGCCAGATCGTTGACTGAGACCAATGTGTGAGGATGCTCACCACCGAGGGTGCGCTGACGGGCCTCCAAAGCTCTCCTGTGGAGCGGTTCTGCACCTTTCAGCAGGCCCATCGCTTGGAAGCAACCTGCAAGATTGACGACTGAGACCAATGTGTCAGGATGCTCAGCACCGAGGGTGCGCTCACGGGCTTCCAAGGCTCTCCTGTAGAGCGGTTCTGCATCTTTCAGAAGGCCCATGGCTTTCAGGCCAAGTGCCAGATCGTTGACTGAGACCAATGTGTCAGGATGCTCGGCACCGAGGGTGCGCTCACAGGCTTCCAGAATGTCGCTCAGCAAAATCTTGCTTTCCGGGAAGTAGCCTCGCATCCACAAAGCATTTCCCAACCGCGCTTTGGCAGCAATCTTGAGCCGCGGACTCTGAGTAGCTGCTTGGCGTGCTCTTAGAGCATCTAACAGGCGAGCTCGAGCGTTGGCAACTCCGTCCTCTCCAGCGACCCGGAGAACAACACAGCAGCGCTCTGGCTGCCCTGGTTCATTCAACAGTTTGCCGCTGAGATTCGTGCCCGGTGACTTTCCCGCTGCCTTCATCTCAGGGGTTGGCCTCACTGAAATGTCGTAGGCATTCTCCGGGTCAATCAGCAAAGGAATGCAAAACGATGCACGTGGTGGATACACCCTCCTCACATACTCTTCACCATGAAGTGCCACATCTCTTTTCATCATGTTTCTGAAATTGTTATCTAAGAGTTCCATTTGGTCAGCCCATTGGTCGGGAGACTTAGGGAGAGTGTAAACACCACGCCCCCACCAGGCGTTTGCACTTTCTCCCTCTATTTTCAGTGAGGCCCATACCTCTGCAGTTTCTTTCTCAAGGGCTGTGATGTTCCTGTAAGGTAACTCCCCTGTGTAGTGAAAGAATGCCTTGGCACCTGGCCCCGCTGACAAATCAATGGCATCTTTCCATACAACGATGCCAGTTCCAAGATGCTTCCAGGAATAGTCGAAATCCTTGCTGTCCTCGTACTCTTCACTTCGGAACTCCCCACCCTCTCGGTACAAAGTTTCAAAGTAGCGCCGCAAGTCGTGAGTGAAAGTTGCACTCATGGCGCAAAAGGCAACGATAAAAACCGCTACGGAAGCACGTGTGCAATCTGCATTTTCCCTCTGGAGCTGACCTCCATGCAACCATGGGGCGTGGCACCATATTGTTAATATAGCATAGCTATACCATGCTATACCGAACTAGGATTGGTACCTTATATGCATTGGTACCTTGAATTAGCTACCTTTAAAAAAAAACACCTTAAAACCAGCTCCAAGCAGTGGGTTGCTATGCGTTGCTATGCTGCTGAAAAATGCTCCTTGATATGCGTGCCTCCGAGCCAAATGCACATCCAAGCTCGGCGCTCTGCTAGGCTTGTGGCCCGGCCAAAAACTTCAACCTGGATCCAGCTACCACCTCAAAACGAGTCGTCATCCAAAGGCACCTTACAAACAGAAAAAAAAATACTTTACTTCGAGTCATCCCCACCATGACATTTATACGTTTTGTTACTGGCAAATCTTCTGGCATTCTATCTGACATATCTTCTGGCCTTCGATCTGGCATTCAATCTGGCATATCTTCTGGCATTCTACCTGGCATATCTTCTGGCATATCTTCTGACATCCTATCTGGCATTCTATCTGGCAAATCTTCTGGCATTCTATCTGGCAAACATTCTGGCACTTTATCTGGCATACCTTCTGGCATTCTATCTGACATTCTATCTGGCATACCTTCTGGCATTCTATCTGGCATATCTTCTGGCATTTTAGCCGGCATATCTTCTGGCATTCTCTGGCAAATCTTCTGGCATTCTACCTGGCATATCTTCTGGCATATGTTCTGGCATATCTTCTGACACTCTATCTGGCATATCTTCTGGCATATCTTCTGACATTCTGTCTGGCAAATCTTCTGGCGTTCTATCTGGCAAACATTCTGGCACTTTATCTGGCATACCTTCTGGCATTCTATCTGACATTCTATCTGGCATACCTTCTGGCTTTCTATCTGGCATATCTTCTGGCATTTTATCTGGCATATCTTCTGGCATTCTTTCTGACATTCTATCTGGCTTTCTATCTGGCATATCTTCTGGCATTCTATCTGGCCGTTGAGGTCCAGCGGTGCTCACTGAGCTCGGAGGGTCCCAGGTTGAGGTCCAGCGGTGCTCACTGAGCTCGGAGGGTCCCAGCTTGAGGTCCAGCGGTGCTCAGAGCTCCGACGGTCCCAGGTTGAGGTCCAGCGGTGCTCACTGAGCTCGGAGGGTCCCAGGTTGAGGTCCAGCGGTGCTCACTGAGCTGGGAAGGTCCCAGGTTGAGGTGCAGCGGTGCTCACTGAGCTCGGACGTTGGCGAAGAGCATGGCGAGGAGTTGGCAAGGCAACAGTGGACGTGGAAGTAGAAGCAGAGGCGGTAGACGAGGAGGAGGAGGCGGAGGAGGAGGCGGAGGAGGCGCGGAGAGCTAGCCGAGGAGGAGGAGAACAGCTCTGATAAAATCTAACAACCCTCACCTGGCAGGTGGGGAAAAACAGCCATGATGCATCTGTATTAAAGGCAACAGCTGAACTTCTGCCTGGACAAAGCTCATATTTTATCGTGAAGCATGCTCATGAGTGTCGTGCAGGCAAAGTTGACCATAATTATCAACTATCAACCGAGCAGTGCACCATGCTGCCCGATCTTGGTGCCAACGATTCAGCCGTGCCCTGCGAAGGCTGTAGCTCAGACCTGGAATTGATTCAATCAATTCGGCCGAGACATCCCCCATGTATAGCCCCCTTGCTTTGGGGCCGAGATTATACCAAATGGAATGGCCACATATTGGGATTTATAAAGTGGAAAACCAACATGTGTTGGTTATAAAGTCACAAACCAACGGTGTATAAAATGCTCTGGCCACGCAAAAGCATAAAAGTCGGGATGGATTTTTGAGTGTATTTTTTAACCTGTCCCATTACCATAAAGTGAAAGGAGCAACATCCAAGCAACAATACCGATGTGCGCAAGCCCTGCACTATAACTGGTTGGTGGTTTCATCCCCTCTGAAAAATGATGGACTTCGTCAGTTGGGGTTAATATTCCCAATATATGGAAAAATGAAAAAAAAAAAAACGTTCCAGTCAGCACCAACCAGATAATGTGCATGACCCAGCAACGATCTTCATAATTGCCGACAGGTGTTCCAAACCTCGCCATCAACTGGATTTCGAGTTCCCAAAGGATCGATCACCTGGGGCATAAAAACTCGGGGCAAGCAGAGATTTCTGTGGTCTTTTTCTATTTGAAATTTGGTCATCACACGTAATTTCAGCATGTTGGGAATGTACATTGTTGCTTTAGGACATTCAGCAAATCCCAATTTTAACGCCTTTTGACATGTTTTGACATGCTTTGACCCAACCCAATGCGTGGGACCCCAGTTTTGGTTTCCGTCCAATGGATGGTCTCCATTCGAAATTCATCATCGCTAACTTCGTGATGACGCGATGGATTTCCAAAATGTGAGGCCCCACACAACAGGGAAAAATATGTCAGTTTTACATATTATGTTACAGCAATCCTATAAGTTTGCCACGTATTCACGGAACTCTCAGAGTTACCTGGTTGGATGGTGGTCAGCAAATCCTCTTGCACAGGTTCCTACACTACCGTAGATGGACGAAATATTAAAAGCCCTTCTATCCAATACAAACAATACAACATAATACAACTCCCTCGACCTCAAAGTTCAATCTTAATGTACCCTGAAGTGTGTTAGCCGTTAGCCCAAATGGACGACAGAAATCAAACCCCCAACATCACTGTCGTTAACACGCGCGCTGAAACATTTTTATTTTTGGTGGTGCGGGCGGGGCACCCCTGCAAATCTTGACCAAAAATCTTCGACAAAACAGGCGAATCAACAGGCGAATCGTGTGTCTTCAAACCCGGCTAGGGGGCCACTCATCCTATCAACCAATGGTGTCACCACATCTTCATTTATTGGTGTTTCCTAAGATTTCATAAGTCATGGGGGGATTCCCAGCCCTCATCCATTCTTTTTTTTTGTGATTTTCCTATGGAATAAACCATCCATCGAGGATTTCCCATGATTTCCCCACCATAAAATGGGCACAGCTACTGATGTTGTCCGTCACGGTGCTCACCACCCGACCCTTCTTTCGCACCTACCGAGCTTGTGGCGGCTTGCAATGCTTAGCTGATCCAAAATAAGAGCCTTGAGTATATACACATAGTATATGATGCATTTATAATTTATATAGCTCATGAAACCTGTTATATGGTGGCAGTGAGTGCTTCTGATCAACCTCGGGTACCACCAATCTCTAGCAGCTTGTTTCAAGTGCGTCCTACTTTGGGGCACACACGAAAGTTCTCTAATGTAATGTGAACCCTCCTTGACCTATACTGTAACTGGTTGGTGGTTTCACCCCCTCTACAAAAATAAGCTGGTCAATGGGGAAGATCATCCTAGGATATCTCAGGTATGATGCAAAATCAAAAATGGTTCGAACCACCAAGCAGTATAAACATGCAAACTACGGTGGATGGAAGAAATCCTGCACCAGTTGATGGGTGGTTTATCCCATTGTTTATAGGGTTTCAACCATCCAAGGTGATGCAGGATTTCTTCCATCCACAGTATGACTAAAATATGACTAAAATATGACTAAAATATGTATATTATAAACGTGTTTCCAAAAACACACGGATGTTTCAGGACTCCCCGCTTGATAGCTCAATTGTCATTGAAATTGGCTTGGCGTTGGGTCAATATCTTTAGGCAACAGAACAGCCAGTGGATGCTGATATTCTGAAATGGACAACTAGCCTCTGGTGGGTCTGTCTGACAATTATGGGAAAGGCCCATAATTTCATGCTTGATCATCATTTTCCCAACTTATTTTATGGGTTTAATATGGTTTAATGTCCCATTTTCAGACACACCCAAAATCACATTGTTGGTTAGTTTTATCACATCAAATGTCCCCATTCTATCCCCATTCTATCTCCACTATATTATACTGGCTGCATTATTATAATTCACTAACCTAAAAAATAGCAGAAATAAAGCCAGCTATGGGGATGATTCCCCGAATCCTAACCATCATTCCAGTGACATAACAACCTGAGGTCACTCTAATTCATCCATTAGCATATTTCTGGGTAAATTATAATATGTCACTAACCTGAATTAAGGCCATTTGGGGATGATTTCCCTTACTAACCATGATTCCAGTGAGGTCGCAGTGAGGTCGTTATAATTTACCCAGATATTTGCTTATTATCTATACGGTTGATTTTTATGATTGATTTTCATGGTTGACCTTCAGTTTCCCTATTAGCCTCTTATCTGGCCATGTAAAGTGGTGTCAATCCCCCATGTTCACATCCAATCTATGTCTGGTTGGTGGTTTCAACATGTTGAGAAACCCCTCTGAAAAATGATGGACTTCGTCAGTTGGGATGATGATTCCCAATATATGGAAAAATAAATAAAAATAATCCAGCCATGTTCCAGTCACCACCAACCAGATGTTCATTCTATCTCCATTCTATTCCCTCTCTCCCAGGCCTGTGGTGGGACAAAGGCCATAGCCGCCGCCGTGGGACTTGTCTTGGTTCCTGCGTTCCCGCAAAAGCTCGCGCTGGGACTCGTCTCCGGCTGGGGATGACATGGGACTGAAAGGAGTGGCACACTGGCACACCAATGGTGGATGTGTACATCTGATAAATGGGGGCTTCTTAAAATGTGAGATCCCCAGTCGTCACCATAGGTTTCATCATTCATGACGACTGAATGATTTGGGGGTACCCCCATTTTAAGAAACCTCCATATCTGTATGGCTTTATCTTGTGATATAGGCGGAGATTCAAGCCGCAGCGGCGGGAAACATGGCTTTTTGACGGAAATAATCTGATGATGCGGCTGTTGCTTATCTGAAAATAGGGTACACCGAAATTCCCATGGTTCATCATCATTCCTCCATTCATATTTGGGTATGCCACTGCAGCCAACGGGAGGTCACACGAAAGGACCCATCAATGTGGGCGTCAGGATCTGGCCGCATCCAAGTTTGCAGGAGGGGCTTTGGTCATGCACTAGTCAGTTTTCTAGAAATCAAAGGTCTTAGATGTTCGCAGTTCTCCCACAGGCTCTGTGTGGTATATGAAGAGTACCTACTTAACTGTTTTTTTTTGTGGTAAACTCGGTTTGGCAAGTGTATTCGATACCATGCATTAAGCATGTGCATGTGGATGTGTTACATCAAACATGAGCTGATACACACACACACACAAGGATGGGGTAAAAGACGTGCAATGCGCGAAAATAGACACTCCAAGATTCTGTCCTCCCTTCTACTCATTGGTTGTTGATGGGGGGTGCCCACTAGAGGGTGATCATAACCCCTATGAAGCCAGCAAGTGTAACCAATCCTATGTACTAATCTACATGTTTCCGTGTATACATATCTGTATGATTGTGTACATGCATAAAATAACCATGAACCAACGGGGAGGTTGAGCATTGCTCAACTAAGTCAGATGCAGTGCCTGCATCTTTCTGTGCAAACTTTGGCGCCAGTAGGCCCAAGGGATTCGGCCTCAGCATCAGCTGAAACCTGTCTCAGCAATGAGATTGAATAACCAAAAAACTGCTAAATGTTATTGGAATCTTCAAGATTTTTGTTGAGTCTTTTGCGAGTCCAAAGCCCAACTACTTGCTGGGTTGGATCGATATTGCTACATATTGCTACTATCCAGCTGCATTCATAAATATTGCATCACCACGTTCCTCGGTTTGTCAATGTTCAATTTTCGCCACCACTTCGAACTTGGAGGACAAACGAAACAACTCTCCCAACACTTGCTGAGAAATGGGATAGTCGGTGCATTGATTTCCCGGGAAATTATTGGAAATCTACACGAAACTATGGTTTTTACTACCAGATATAGAGGGTTCCTGATGATTTTTCCATTAAACTATTAAACCAATTCCGGGAGATAGAAATGGTGCTGTTTCCATTTCCAGAGTCCAAGCCTGGCCGGTCCCTGAAATCATCTACATGGCTTGCTGGAAAATTCCCCGGCTATATATATATATATTGTAGTATATATATATAGTGTGTATATATATAGTATATTTATAGTGTATATATTGGGGGGTGCTGTGGCCTGTTTATCTGTTCCACAGCCCCCCCTATCTGGAACTATATATAAATTTTCAGGAACTATATTTAAATTCTCAGGAACTATATACAGATTCTCAGGAACTTTATATAAATTCTCAGGAACTATATATAAATTCTCAGGAAAATTATTTAGAACCTCAGGAATTTCAGGGGCTATGTATAAGATATCAACATGTATGTTGTATGATTTCTGATGATTTCACGAATCTTGTCGATCTCAGTGCGACTCTGTTGCGGAGAAAACTGGGAAATATCAATTTCTCAAGCAAAGTTCTCGCAAAACTGGCCGGCCAAAGTTTTTCCCCCCATGTGTTGCTCCAAGCCTTCTGCTGAAAATTGCCCTCAGGCTCCGCATTTATAAATGGTTGATGTGACAGATCCTTGGTAGCAAATATCTTCAACTTGTAACAACCAAGTAGTTGGTATCATTTTGCGTTCCTATCTTCTGGTTTGGTTGTGACATTCCTGCAGGCCCCGATCGACTTCATATCGCGCGGTTTCCTTGGAGACGAGCCTGTGGGACTGGCTTTGATCGATGGCTATTTCTTGTAGGAAATCCACCTTGAGTTCCTTGACCATCAGATGCAGGGTGCCATAGCATACTGACAGTATCATTGTTACGTTCATTCATACTGTATGAATTGGGAGATTCGAGAAGTTAGTAAACCTCGCTCACCAGACACTTGGATGCTTGTGATTCATGACTAAACCTTACCGTGCTATCACCAGAATCATTTTCAGATTTTCTCTTCCTATTCCATATTGACATTGACTTATTCAGTGGGTGATCTCCCGGAAAAAGGTTAAAGTTTAGGCGTCGTCTGAGTAAGTTGATTTACTCTTGCGTCGTATGATATGGACGGACCCTGTAAAACTTCATTCGTACAGTATAAAGAGAGGTATTCGTAGCTCAGAAAGTTGCACAATTGTCAATTGCGATGAGTTACTTTCTTGGTGGCTTACAAGAGCTCAATCCGAAAACGAAATCAAAGTCCACTTGTACATCCACACATTGTATCTAGTTTTTGAGAACATCAACCTAGACTAGTCTAGTTCAGCGGTCCAAGCCCGGGCAGCCACTGAGTTCTGCCGATTTCGGGCTGCCACAGAGCCGCCGTCGGGTCTACATTTTGATGGCTCGCAAAGATTTGGTTTCCTACCAAGTCTTCAATGACGTGGTGAAGTCCATTGAGGATGTTTTGACCCAAGTTTTTCCTGTCAGGACAGGTTTGGCCGATGTGCGGGGCCATGTGGAGATCACTTCCGAGTACAAGACGGGCTACAAGTTGCATTTCCCTCCTGCAGCCAAGGACCCTGAGCAGCAAAAAGCGCGTGTGGCCTAGACACATCATCTTTTAACAGTCCCGGGCCCTGGTTTATACCTCAGCCTGACGCCGGTCCTCCTAAGTGAGACGACCTCTAAGTGTGGACTTTTTCCCCGGCAGTTTTCCGGAACACCAAAACCACTGCTGTCCTGGATTGTCAAAAAATGTCCCTTACTAAACTATATGCCGGAACTATATTTAAATCCTTTGGAACTATATATAAAATCTTCGGAACTATATATAAAACCGATCTCGGTATATCCTCTCGAGGACTGGCCACCAGGTCCGCCACAGACCTTAGGCAGACCCCAGGTCAAACGCCCACAAATTCCCTGCGTTTTGTCAGCCTGTGCTCCCAGGATGGTGTGATCAGTGCATCCAAACGACGCCAGCAATTTGTCAAGGATTGCCAGAAGAAGCTGGGGCTGGGAAGCGGGATGGAGTTCTACACTGAGTCCCATCTGGAGCCACACCAGAAGGCCATGCTTAACACCCGAGAAGCAGAGAGCCTGAATATCCAGTTTGCCTCTTTGGTTGTTACTCAGCTTTGCTTCGACAGTGGTGGGATGGGATGATACTTCCGTCTGCTCTTTCCAAGATCCCTTTTTGCCAAGCCACATTCTAACCATGTCATCTTAAGATTTTGACCAAGGGGAAACGACTTATAACTTCTAAGTTTGTAACGGTTTCTTGATTGACTTTGTCATGTTGGTTGGAAAAAAGACAGAAAAAAACAAAAAAATGAAAAAAAAAAAACAAAAAACATGAAAAAAACACAGACCATCTCAGTATTGGTTCGGAACCGTTCGGAACCGTTTTGAACGCGAAGAGTAGTTCGGAATCGGAACCGTTCTGAACTATATATAAAAACAAGTTGCAGAAGTAGTTCAGAACCGTTCGTTCTGAACTATATATAAAACATGCAGCAAATATAGTTCGAACCGTTCGGAACCGTTCTGAACTATATATATAAAAACAAGTTGCAGAAGTAGTTCAGAACCGTTCAGAACCGTTCTGAACTATATATAAAACATGCAGCAAATATAGTTCGGAACCGTTCGGAACTGTTCTGAACTATATATAAGATATGCTTTAAATATAGTTCGGAACCGTTCGGAACCGTTCTGAACTATACATAAACTCTGTTTATATATAGTGCGGTCCGGAACCGTTCTGAACTATATATGCGTCCAAAACCTTTTTAGTTCCAATTAGTTCTGATTAGTTCCAAATAGTTCCAAATAGTTCCGATGTAAAAATAGTTCGGAACCGTTCGGAACCGTTCTGAACTATATATAAAACATGCAGCAAATATAGTTCGGAACCGTTCGGAACCGTTCTGAACTATATATAAGATATGTTAATAAGTAGTTCGGAACCGTTCGGAACCGTTCTGAACTATATCTTTGATTTATTTTTTATATATAGTTCGGAACCGTTCGGAACCGTTCTGAGCTTTATTACACTGCATGTTTTTATATATAGTTCGGAACCGTTCGGAACCGTTCTGAGCTATATTACACCGTATTTTTTTTATATGTAGTTCGGAACCGTTCGGAACCGTTCTGAACTATCTTTGTCAGATTTTTGTTTTAGCCAATATTTTCTTGGTTTTTTGAAAGTTAGTTTAGTTATGTTAAGTTATGAAATATAGGTTTTATATATTGTTCCAAAGATTTTATATATAGTTCCAAAGGTTTTATATATAGTTCCAAGCTCTTACCCCCCCTCAACACAAGTCATCAAATAAACAGGCCGCAGCACCCCCTAATGTATATATATATATAGTAACCGATAATTTTCCCAGCGAACCTCTATGATAGTTTGGGGATTTCCTCGCGGAAAATCCCATGTTTGACAAAAAAGAAGGGGAATACATGGGAATACAATCTGCAACTTAAGAGAAACAGCAGTGGCTGCTAAACCCCTGTTGGTTGATGATTACTGATATTCGTATGGGTCTAGGTCATACAATCCAATATAATATTGAGCAATAACATGCAATAAATATGTGGGAATCATCCAGGGTTTAATATGTTTAATAATCCCATAGCTGACTCTCCCATGATTATATCATCCGATATATTAAATATATTGATTGTCCATGATTGTCCAATAATTATCATAATCCATCATTGTCCATGAAATGGAAAATCCATTGGATACGAATTCTGGATTCATACTAACCCCATTGATATCATCCTTGGTGCCGCACCCCGTCAGCTTTGTGCGCTTGGCTTCCGGCCTCGGGTTTGGCGCCGGAGGCACATGGGTATCCCGTTGGAACCAGAAATCACTCAAAAAACCTTCCAAAAAAGGTGCAAAATCTTCACAAATCACCAAGAAACCTTCAAGAAATGACTTTAACATTGGTGTAGAACAGAAATTTCATATTTGGTTCACTGCATTTGGCTCCCATGTTTGGAAGGCAACATCCGTCTTTTTGCAGGGTCACATCCTCTCTTGCAACTAGTTGAGCATTCGACTCATCGTCCTGCGTCAACGTGTCACGGCAAAATATGGGGAGATGCTTCGCAAATACGTAGGGACTTGACATAGAAAAATCAAAATGTGGAGTTCAACAAAAAACACCAGGTCTAACATTTACATCATTTACCAGGTCTAACAATTAATGGGGACTTTACCAGGTTTTACCCCAATCAATAGTGTATTAACCAGGTCTAACAGTTACCCTGGGATTTCAACCAGGATTTCACTGAGCTGTCGTTTGATCTGCATTTGGGCGCATCTTCGCTAATCAAATCTCCCTGTGTTATTTGCATCCGATCATCTTTGCCCATTGACTCAATCAACTCCGTACCGATATTTATCGATATTTACTAGTTGCATCCCTAGAAAAAAACAACTGCAAAAGCCAGTTCATTGTCGGTGAAGCCAATCATAAACCATCCAGTAACCAATTAACATTTGGGTGTCACTGAAAAAATCATCCCAGTCAGAGGAGTATACAGTATTCCCAAGGTTCCAACTGTTGGATCCCCATGCTGGAACAAGGAATTTCTGCTGTGCAAAAACCACTCTGTTTGTTGACAAATCCTACCCATCATTTCACATAACTATTAGTGCCATGGTTATCCATCCCAGAATGGGAATCCTTCTACCCTCTGGTAAACTAACATAGCTATGGAAAATCACCATTTTTACTGGCAAAATCCACTATTAATATCTATTAATGGCCATTTTCAATAGCTACGTTAAATTACCAGAGGGTACTGTTTATTGTAGATCCCTATTAGTTCAATGATGACCATCCCCCCCACCCATCGGAAAACAGGACACCCAACAACGATGGACTCATCGAACCTCATCACTGGACTCCTCAGCCTCACGAAGTGGACCATTTTCCAAGAAAAACTCGGGCCATGGCTTCAGACGGTTGACCAAATATTACCCTCTGGTAAGTTAACATAGACCCTGGCAGATCGGGGTTGGAAGACTAGTTTCCATTAAAAATTTGTGATTTTCAGGGTCTATGTTTATTTACCAGAGGGTAACTGAATTTGTACTTATTGGATCTTATTGGCCATATATTTTACGCTTAAATTCGTGTAAAAATAGTATTAGGCCCCAAGAATTGGAAACCTTCCCAAATAAATCAGAGAGAACAGGTTCCAAAGGCTACAATGAGCTGGTGGTTCCAGCCCTAAATTGGAGATCATCCCGGCCACGAAGGGGGGGCTACCAGGTGCCCTTGGAAGGTAAAAGAAAAGGGCACTGAAGGTGGATATCGCCACTCAAAATGGACATATAGTGATGTAATAAAAAGTGCAATGTATACCTAATCAGGCTAGAAAAATATGAGTAGCGCCAAAGGATTGGTACATCAACAGTCCAAATGGTATGACAAATGAAGGTCTTGCATCCGCTGAAAAACGATGGTTCTTGTAGCCTTGCGAAACCAGCCCTTAAATCCTTTGGTTGATCATCATTTTCCCCATGAAAATCCACTGAATCCGCTGCTGTTTGTTTTTCTCCTATGAATTTCTGCAGTAGGTACATATCCTATGAAAATTACTGCACAAATCCGCTATTCATCCCATGAAAATGGCCATAAATTGGGCCTATGGACTTTGATCGTCAGATCTAAAAGAAGCGCAATCTGCACCTGCGCCGTAGTTGCGGGCTTTGAGGCAGCAGCCCCGCCTAGGTCCAGACAGAAAGTTGGCAGTTGATATAGGTTATATCTCATTATATTCATATTCAGCAATTGGCTATATATATAATATTACATATGATATATGATATATGATATATGATACATGATATATTATATATTATATATTATATATTATATATTATATATTATATATTATATATTATATATTATATATTATATATTATATATTATATATTATACTATATTATATTATGTTATGTTATATTATATTATATTCTGTAATATGGTATTATATTATATCATATCATATAATATTATACTGTACAATACAATACAATACAATTAATACAATATAGTAACATAACACAATATACTATAGAAAAATATAATGTAATATAATACAATATAATACAATCCAATACAATATAATACAATACAATACAATAGAATATAATATAATATAATATGAAATAATATGTATATGTAATGTATATGTAATGTATATGTAATGTATATGTAATGTATATGTAATGTATCCCTTTTATATCCACTAGTTATATCTCATTATGATACAGTTTTTAGTAATGTCAGCAGAACTAAGTGGTGGGTCGACATGCAAGTGGTTTAGATTGATAATGGTTTTTTCAAGAGAAAAAAAAAACAGGAAATTAAAAAATGAAAAACAACATGTAAAAAATGAAACAACATGAAAAGAAATGAAAAGAAATAACAAATTAAAATGCACCAAGAAATGAAATAAACCATGAATGAAAACAATAAAACACACAATGAATGATAAAGATATGTGAACATTGGAGGCCACCATATTCCAAACATGAATTGGGTAGCGGTAACATATTCTTGTTATTTCTTTTTACTTTTTTTTATTTCTCTTTCCTGGCGAAGAAAAGTTTTTAATGATTTTAAATGTGTTTTTGTTGATTTTCGGACCATCCAAACCATGTTTTAACTAACCTACTGCAACCTGCACCACCACTTAGTCTTGCTGATAATGGTTCTCGATAAATTGTATATGGAGAATCTAACGGGAACTAATAGGATCCATTTCGAGCTACAATCAACCAAACATAGGGATAAAATGGTGCTATATAATGAAAATTCGGGAATCTGTAAAAATCTAAGACCGGAAATCGCAGCTTCTGGTCATCTTTCAGCATTGCATTTTTGGGGGTACTCTACTTCTGTCCCATACGAATATCATCTCTTAATAAGATCCACTATGCGTACAGTAATTAATAGAACATCTACAAAGCACCCAAAAGAAAAATCGACAAGTCAAATTCCACTCAAACAAGTGTAAATCCAACCTTTTCGGAATCTTGCTTAGGTGTCAGTGTCGTTGCTAACATCATCCAACCTTCCGAATCTACTCGGCCCCCAACTTGGCTTCGTTGAGGCACTTGCGCTTGCGCCCTCACTCTCCTCCTGTCCCGGGGGAGGATGTGGAGCTCAACCATGAAAAGTTGGGGCGTAGAATGACTTCAATAGGGACCAAGAAGGCCTTCAACCAGCAAAAATCGGTCAAGATCAGTGAGACATTGACATGTGGATGTTTCTTTTAAATGAAATGGTGGTAGTTAAGCAAGAACAAAAAATTGAAAGCTACATTGGAAGTCCGGCCACAAAACTCCGAACTTTTTATGCGATGGAAATCGGAACGTTTCACCAGCGTTGGATGGGACATGGGAAACCTAGTTCAACTCCGACTCCTGGAAATAGCCATGGCTCAAATGGATTACCCTCTGGTAATGACTAACAGTTTGCTATTGAAAATGGCCCAGTCGAAATAGTGAGTTTTCCCATTATATAAAAATGGTGGATCTTTCCAGTTCGCTATGTTAGTCATTACCAGGCCGGGTAACCGCCCTGTGCCCTCCAATCACCCTCCGGTAATCGAAGCTAACTTGCTGGCAAATCCCAGCGTTTACTAAACCTCTATGGGGGAGAAACTAATGGGGATTTTTAATGGGGATTAATGGGGATTTTATGGGATTAATGAACATAAATGGGGATTTTATGGGGATTCATGGGGATTCATTTTAATGGGGATTAACCACATACCTCCATTTTATGGGATTAATGGGGATTTTAAATGGGGATTCTATTGCCATGGCCATGAGTACCGTTTAGGGTATCCAAAAACAGTGACAAAAGCAACCTTTTTCACGTTCGTTTAAGCGAGGATCTCCAAAACCAGACATAATGACTGACGCATGCCACCATCCAACTTATCCAGTGTTTTCCCTGACAACCGTTGACCCAAGTGGAGTTGGTTCTACTTCGGTTCATCTCATTCACCATGTTTGCCGTGATGTCATTGCGATCTTCCTTGGCAAAACCAGATTGTTTAATTGGATAAACACCACAGTTGGATGGAGGTATGTAGCTAGGTTCCTAGGTAGCTACGTTGCTAGGTGGCTAGGTGGCTGGGTCGGTAGGTATGTAGGTATGTGGGTATCTAGGTGTCTAGGTATCTAGGTATCTAGGTATGTACGTCATGTACGTATGTACATATGTACGTATGTACGTATATATGAGTATGTACGTATGTATCCCTGTGTCGGGGTTGAAATGTCGATGGTCATTGCTTTCCTACCAAAAATGATGGCTCAAGTTTTGACGTCACTAGTTGCACTGCCATTTTTTGTTGCAGCAAAATCCTCATTTTCGCTGGGTAAATCTTCACTTTGGCCTCGCCTCCGAGTCGTAGCCACCCAGCAGCCTGGGGATTAAGGCTGAAAAAAAAACATCAACCACCAGCATCCACGCAAGAAATGACTGCTGGATACAGCTGGTATATAGTGCATATATCATTATGATTCATGAAATATATCTGGCTGCATGTCATCATCATTCACCAACCTGAAATGCTTGGTGATCTTAAAGATTTTAAGGGATTGGCCGCCGAGGACAACCCAGCAACCGATAGGATTTATGGGGTGGATCCTCCCATCGGAGATCATCATCTTACTGCTGCGTTTTACGTAGGGTGGCTGGATGGGCTGTTGGGGGGGGATCATTATTAATAATTATATGTTATTATATATGGATCATTCCCGAAAATTCCCTACGTAAAACTCACCAGTAAGAAAAACTCCTCTGTCCCCGGGATCAAAGAAGCAGGCGGTGGCATTGAAACTAAAGGTGCAACGGAAATTCCGAATTAATCACCTCCCAATCTTCTCAACCTCAATCTCTTCACGTATGCCTGATTCATAGCCCATCTCTGAGAGCATGCCACACATGAAGGAAGATTAAAAAAAATCTGGATATATAACTGGTTCGGCAGCGGGATAACACGAATTCATGCAAGGTTGATGCAAGCAGAGACGGTGATTCCCAAGGAGGATACAACAATGCATATATGACCAAACATACTGGATATAACATGGTATGTAGTATATAGATGTATATTAAGCACCACATAAAATATATATATATAGAAAAGCCATCACTATTTCAGGATGTGATTTTTCATGATGTTTCTATCTCTTTTCTTTGGGAGGGGGTGCACCTGCCCCAAAATCTCACGAACAGCCGTGAGTTTCCCGCCAAGCTCCCCGACCCCATGGCGGCACCCTGAATGGTCGGCGATGTTGGGATTCCAGTTGGGATGGTCATGGCAAAGGATGGATGATGGATATGGAGGGTTGATGGCTGCTTCACTCACCTTACTGAAAACTGCTTGCCTTAGAGCTCGGTCCAAGTTGGAATTTATTGCAGACTTTTGATGAGGAAGATCAGCGATTTTTCATAGCAAGAGTGTGGTGACGAAGATAAGATTGGACTATTCATATCTATTCATGGGATAAATGTCCATGTTGGAATTGTTGGATCAAATTGGTACATTCACCTTAAGTTTTGAAGCTAGCAGCTGGCGCAGAGAAATCCAACGACCGCTGTCCCTGCGAAACGACTGCATGCTCTGCAAATGACTTGTCGTAGCCCGTGCGGTGGGACGCTATGCTTGGAAGCATTTGGTCAAAACAGCTGTTGAGAAGAAAGCAACCGAACCACCCATCTCTAGCTTTGGAGATTTCTTCTCCACTTGAATGTGTTCAATTTTTCGGGAAAGGCATGACATTCCCAAAATGCCCAGGGTGTTTCTGTGAAATCCGCTTGACTCAGCACACTGCGGAGCACTTTTGTCCACTGGGAACACAACGCGGTTCTTAGCCGCGCGCTCAGGTGCGTTCGGAACGTCTCTCGCGGGCCATGACCTGCAGCACCACCAAGACAGGCAGCTTTTTTTGTCGGACTTGACATGATGGATCTGTTTTGCTTTTGGGGTCCTGCATAAGGGGAGTGACTATTGGGGATGTGCCCCTGTTCTCACAGCTTTCCCGAGCCTTCTCTTCGAATTTGATCAGAATTGTGGTACTTGTACCTGCCCAACACATTTCCACTGCTGAAATGTTGAGCCACGTTGCTAGATTTCTCTCCGGAAACACTTGAGCATTATGTCCAAAACCTCCCCCCCAAAAAAAAGACAAAACACACATGTGCAGCTATTCAAAATTGTTGCTTGATGTTGCTTGCGGCTTCTTGAAATTTGGGGCCCCGAAAACATAGTGACATATCAGTTGCGTGCATATTCTGGCCTACCCAGAAATTGGTGAAGTTGAGCAATCTGCAGAGTGCCTGTGGGTTCTTCAACAGTGTGGGCGGTCGCAGAAGCAGTAAATTCTGCACTGCAAAGCATGCCTGGACGGTCAGGGAAGGAAAATGGTGGGTATCCTCAGAGAAGGACCATCAAAGGTGGTAATGTGGTAATGTGGTAAACCTTACATTATATCCCCAATCAGAGACAGCGGATAGATCCGGATAGTAAAGGTTGATATTAGGCCAATACTAGACTAAACATGTAGGCGCCAAACCCCACGTTCGCCCACACCCAAAGAACACACCCAAACAATATCATATGCTTGTCATCAGAAGATGAATGAAAACACTGGCTATACGCAGCGATTTTGACTTTAGGTTTTCAGGATTTAGGGTTTTAATTTAGAGTTTGGGTTTTTAGGCTTTTAGGGTTTTAGGGTTTTGTTTTTTTCGGGTTTTAGGTTTTGGAAAGTAAAAAACTAGCACTACGCAGGGATTTGAGCATGTCAAAGGATATGCGGGATTCGATGCGGGCAAACGTGGGGTTTGCAGCGAACATGTAATGAGTGGTGCAAGCCGTGCCAAATATCTGACAACTCTCATACCGGATTGCACCGGGCAAAGCGGAAACTTATTGTTGAGGGGGGTAAGGGAGAACGCAAGGTAAACCCAATGCCACATATGAACCCTTTGGGGGAACCTGGGTCTCATACGAAGGCAGTCATGTCTCTTCCTAGTTGAACAGCCCATTTCATGATCAAGTTCAGGGTTGCCAAACCAATGAGATGCCAAAGTGTACGTATGTGAATTGCCCTTCCCATTGGGATTCCCACCATAGTATGGTATGCTGCCCTGATGGTTTCCTGCTGACACAAACAAGGGCAGCCCTTGGCACCTTCCACCATACCTGCCACAAACCTCAGAGGCCCAGAGATGAACACATCAGTTATGTCTGAAGAAGAAAAACAAATAATCAAATACACATGTGTGGTAACCTCCTTTTGGATAATCCTCACTCACCTGAAACAAACAAAGCAAGTGAAGCAAGTGTCGGGAAATCACCAAGAGGGACACAGTTCTAAGTGCGACTTGGCAGGTTAGGAGAAGGAAAAGCAAAACATCCATATCCAAAAGCAGACCATGTCCCCAGTTTAGGACATGTTCCTTCTGGAATCTCAAAAGGGTTAGTTCCCTCCTGGGAAGATCTCTGAAGTGAGTGGATCCGTGGCTTTTCAACAGGTGATATCGTATGATATCCCTCCATCCTTCCCAAGACCAATCTAGATCAACAAGGCCACGAATCAGCAGAGTTCTGTGAGTTCACAGTGGACCCGGAGATTTGGCTTCAACTCTAGCACATGTATGGAAACATGTTGAATGGTTATATTATGTTATGCAAGTTGTGTGTTATTAGCCAGTGACCAAGCAACCATTAAACGGGGACCCCAGATGATGAAAATCCACCACATTCCACCAGGGATTCTTTACAAGTGTTTATCAATAGGGGAAGTGATTATCCCAAAAATATCGGTCTGCAAGGATCATCATCTTAAAAAAAAAAAGGTTGACAATATAATATAATATATATATATATGTATATATGTATATATATATATATGTATACTGTACAGTATGTATATATATATATATATATATGATATTTGAAACCATAGAACGGGTCCCATCCTTTTCACACCACACTTTATGCTGCTTTTGGATGTCCATCCTGCCATTCATAATGGTCGGGGTAAACTCCCGATTCTGGGACCCAAATCATACCTGGCATGCTCAATGAAAAATCCCCATGATATCCGAAAAAACACTCCCAGTTCCCATATAAATAATATATAAATAATATACCCTCCAGTAGTTTGACATAGCTATGAACATTGGAACATTGGCCCATTCAGTTCAATGATTTATGAAAAATGCTGGTTTTTCATTGCAAACTGTTGAATTACTATGTAGCAAATTACCATAGGCTAAAATCCCATTACATAAATCCCAGTACATCCCACTATAATCCCATTATATCCCTTTGAATCCAAATGTATATATATATATATACACAAACGACTTTTTGTTGGTTAAATTCTTTATGTCCCTACAAATCCATACGAAGAGTCGTTGGTGAAATCCATTATTTCCCTATAAATCCATATGTCGTATCTTTAGGTTGTAACTATATCTAGGTAAAATCCAATAATTCACCAAAAATACAAAACTATATATCTGGGTAAATTATAATATATCACTAACCTGAATTAAGGCCATTTGGGGATGATTTCCCTTACTAGCCATGACTTCCAGTGAGGTCGCAGTGAGGTCGTTATAATTTACCCAGATGAATCATTCCCCTTATCCCAGATTCCCTATCTTTCCCCAATGAAATCCACCATTTCCCACTGCTCAACACCCAGTTCAATGCCGAGAAACGCACCGCAGTTCACATCGCCCAGGTCCTTGGGTACGGAGATGAAACGATTCACCAGCAAGGCTTTGTCGTTCAGCATGTACCTTCAGAGTTCAACGAACAAAACGGGTGGATTTCACCAACATAAGCAACAAAAAGGCTGACAAGAAGCCAAGCAAAAAAAATGAAATTTACATAAATTAATCAAGTATTATGATTACCCACAAAAATTAGAAATTCACCAACAGAAATTGGGGATTTCACCAACGAAAATTGGGATTTGACCACGAGACATAGTGATTTTCCCAGGCCTCATGGCGATTTGACCATGACAAAGAGGGATTTTAGGTCATCAAGACTGGGGCTTGGACCCATGAAGAATGGATTTTACATGATTCTTACACATCAAAAGCAGGGCATCATGGAGACATTGGAGACGTTGGACAAATATCAGACATTCCAAAGATGGGGGACCTAGAAAGCTCGAAACATGCTGAAGTGGATGGTTCAACCATTGCTGAAAAAATGGCTGATGTTAGCTGGTGATTTTTTTGCAGAAATGATATGGAAGAACGGAAACCATCCAAGAAACACGGATTTGGATAGTGGATACATGTGGATACTGATATTGGAGAATGGGGAACTAAATATGGAGACAGTAACTCGAAAGCAGGGATACTAAGGGGATATATTGAACAGAAATGATATGAAATAAGCCTAGAATCCCAGATACAGTAATATGGTTTAGAAGCGAGTCTGGTGTATCTACCCGTGGGCAATTTTGCCACAAAGGGCATGTTCAGAACCTGATGTTTATCCCAAACTATTTTTTCAGAACCTATATCTGCCAGCAATTTATCAACTGTACTGCTTGGTATGGGTCGGTTTTATAAAGGTCAACCAGTCACTGAGTGGCCTTGAAACTGGGTCTTGGGATGGTGGTGGAACACTGTGTGGGTCCAGTGATCCCAGTACGACCCGTTGCAGGGGTTTTAAGTGGGAATGCGAATCAGGTTGATTTTGAACTGCGGAGTAGTAAACAATAACATCTTACCCTCTGGTAAACGTTTACATAACTATGGAAAATCATTTTGTAATAGGTAAACCATCTATAAATGGGCAATTTTCCATGGCTATGTTAGTCATAACCAGAGGGTAAATCCTAAATCAGCTGCAAGTACATAACTGTGTCCAATTTGCTACCAAACATCGGCCATATACCGTGAGCTGTTTGCCACAAAACTGTGTGGATAGAATGGTGTTGCGAATTGCATTACCCTCGTCAAAAATGAAATGATATGTACCAACATACTGCATACCGTCAATACGGCATGATGGGAGGCTGTGCTGCATTGATCTGTATAATAATCATACTTTTTAGTGAAGCAAATTCAGATAGGCAGCAAATAGGCGCTGAAGACTAGCGATTGGTTTGCCTTGATAGCTGATAACGTTTTATTAAAATCCTTATGGCCACAGGAGTCATGAGAACTTAACTTTTGAATATGCCGTAACATACCCATGAGGACATGATTTGTATGAAGATAAAAACTTGTTGGATACTGGACGAGTTATATTTCAAGCGAGTGACTTAGGACTTGTGAA